TGGTGAGTGATTAGTTGCTTGTTTAAGTGGTCATGCATTGTAAGTGGCGATTTACTGGTAAGTGACCACCATTGTTTTGGCGATGAGTGAGCAATGAGTGGGCAATGAGTGGGTGATGTGTGGGTGATGTGCGGGCGATCTCCTAGCAAGTGGCCATCAATGCGCGGGGCGATGAGTGGGCGCACAGCAGACGATGAGAAGGGGGCAATAGGCCATGAGTGGGTGACCAATCTTATGTCTGAAAACAATACCAGTTTTTTCCATACAAGTTTCCCTGATAAAAGTCCAGCTTTTCTACCTCATATTTTGTGGAGACAGGAACCACAAAATAAGTTTGCTCTTTTTGTCTCACCTGGAAGGAATCTTTTTGGGGAAAATGTGGAGAAAGAAATGATGATGATTTCGCCCTGAGAATATTTCGACTCTCCTAATACCTCAAAAGGTGTAAAAGCAGTGTATCTTTTCATACCACTAAAACAATAACATCCCCATAGGAAAATAGCTTAAGTGTATTTACGAAACAAACTGAATGTTTTTTTGTACCTCTATCCGCGCAAAATAGTATAAAATTAGCCCCGTGTGGTGGGGAAGGGTGAGGAAGCGGCGGTAGAGGAAGAAGTCGTGCGATCCCTCGGGCGCTCCAGCGCGTGTCGCCGCTGCCTAGCTCACGAAGAGTACGCATGCAAATTGTAAGTGTTTGAATGTTGCTTTGTTCGGCTTACTTTATGGCCTATTCGCAGCAGCTCCGAGCAGGCAATTGTAATCATGCTTGCAGTTATCGTCATATATCCCCCATGACGTCGGCAGTAGGCGCAAGAGGCGCGATTGGCACGATGCGTGGATGCTATTTACTGAGAGCTTAGGGCAGCCAGCGAGCCTGGCTGTACAACGCGGTGCGAAAGAGCGAGCGCAAGAGAGCGAGGAGAATAGTGAGCTGCGCGCAGACGCTTGCACGAGTGGCGGACGGACGACGCGGTACACGCCGCAAGTAATGGGGAAAACAACTTCCGACCACCCTTCTGTGTATTCAATTGCTCAGGATTCTAATGTAAGGTTACAACCCCAGAGACTGGTCCAGAATACTAAACAAAAACATGGAAGGAGAACAGCAGCTCGAGTTAGAGAGGAATCAAGGAATGGAACGAGAGCAGAGTGTATAATAGTAATGATCATGTAAGTAGAGGGAGACGCGCGACAGGGGAAGCGAACCTGGCTGCGCAGAGGACGAAGATGACGGAGTAGCAGAGCCAGTCAGTTGGAGATGTGGGGAGCGCAATAACAGCAAGCGACGGACAACCAGGACCGGGGGCATAGGAAGGAAATACAATAGAGGTGTGTGCAAGTGCCAGCGAGCGTAAGGGAGGTATACATGTTCAAGTGCGAGAGAAGACCTGAATCGTCGCGGCGTCATGCTCCGCGATGACGTGCGTAGTGAGCAGGGAATGAAGTCTCGGGGTGCGCTCGGATGCCGCTGTGGTGACACACCCTGCACGAGTGCGACATGCAACCGTCCGATAGTTGCAACGAGGTGATCGTGCAGAGAGCACGCAGGTGCTCGTCGATGAACCGGTCGAAATAACTGGTTGACAGTTGGCGGGAAGCAAATGGCGGCGCAAGTGGTGGAGAGAAAATGTAGTGGATAACGCGACAACGACAGCAAGGACAATGGATGTATGGTACGGATGCGAGATGTGTGAGATGGCGAATAATTGCAGCATACAAACAAGAGAAAATCTGCGATATCAATAAGTATAGAGTTTTCGCACAGGCGATTAAGAACATACCCGGCGAAAGAGTCCCCCAAAGCAAGAAAAGACGACGCGGCCATGGCTATAGTATCCCCGAGTCTTTTAATGCATTTTGTAGTATCGTCTCCTTCACCGCTGCGAAGACCAGGCGGATGTTACTTGTATCCGTCGCCTGTGTCAGGCTGTGTAGCAAAGTTGATCAGGAAAGAGATGAATGCGACAGGCGAGGCGCTACGCACTGGGGGTAAACGCTTAGTCGTGCCCGGTTCGCCTGCATGAATCTCCACAGTATATACTTCGCAGCCTTGTTAATGTCTGCACCCCCAGTGTACTCTGCGAAATAACGCTCGAGTGGTACCTAGACTGACGGTCAGTTTGCGTGAGCAGCAAGGAGCTCGTTACACACCTTTGGTAGCTTGCTCTTGAATACGTCGATCTTGTTCAAGAACAGGATTATCGACGTTCGGAGAAACCATCTGGAGTTGATGACAGAGTCGAAGAGGACGAGCGACTCCGCCATACGATTCTGCGTATGTGAGCACTAGACTGCGCAATGATAACAGATTGTGACGTACCTGATTCCTCTCTTCAAGTAGAACTTGATCGTACTCAGACAGCGCGGTGCAGAAAATGATCGACGTCACGCTCTCGAAGCAGTGTATCCACTTCTTCCTCTCTGACCGTTGGCCACCGACATCGAACATATGTATTCTTGGTCCCGCCACCATTAGCTGCGTATGCCTGTAAAAGCTCAGAGTACGCACGATAACGGGCCCAAGCTAAAGCGTGTCTCCGTAATCCCGGTGCTCTTCGCTCTACATCGTAGCACGTCCGTCTCGGTCGGAACATAATCTGGTGTACCTATTCGCAGCGCTTCTGTGAAGAAACTGTTGCAGATAAGCTATTCAGTAAGGCCATCTGATTTGCTACAGGGACACTTACTAAGATGCGCTGTCCATAAGGTAAAATTCGCTACTGTGGTCCATAATCGTCGGTATTATGGGATCTTTCCATAGTTGGTATATCGCCTGGGCCATTTCTTCCGAGAAGTAGAAAGACGTTGACGGTACGACCTCGTAATCCATGATGCGATCTACACTTGCCTAGGCTGGCTGTCAGCGACGGCAGGCCGCGAACGCTTGAAATATCACGTACCCGATTCTGCGGGTTCACACAATCGACGCCGATCTTGCGCATAGCGAGCAGAATATGATGGGCCGACTCGAGCAAGTTCTTGTATATCGTCGTCCGGAAGGTAAGCAGCTCATCGCGCGTATAGCCGTTCTGATGGATGATCTTCATCTGCTTGACTATGGTCGACTTTCCTGACTCGCCGGAGCCTGTTGAGGTGGTTAGCAGCAGTTGTGGCATGCGCCGCGCAGCGTCTGGGCAGGCTTGCCACTGCGCCTTGTTCTATCAGATACAGAGCCGTGCAGGTGCTGCCGGGAGTCGGGATTGACGAATGAGACATCCACACTCCCAACAATAACCATGACGCCACTCCGAGAGCATCGGCACCTGATACATGGAGGGGTACGACGCCGCATGGAGGGCAGATCGTCCAGCGGCGGCAGCCCAGGTACAGTCGCGACCGACGTTCGTACCACTATCATGGGCGGGGTGATCCGTGACTGCACTGGAGTACAACACAGGCCCATACGATCTGTATTGGGCTAACTCGGCGTAGCCGGCAACGGTGGCTGCAGCGGCGACGCGGTAAGGTCCCAGCAACCTCCGTACCTCTCCCCACTATCCTTCTTAGACTCTCGAGCATGAAAGAGCACTTACCAAGTAGTAAAATCTTACACTCCTTCTTAAACTTCCTCGAGTCCTCCTCGATTTGCTTGTCAATCTCCTGTGAGCGAGCCGCGGCTTCGCGGTCTACCTGCGATACGCAGTTCCCCATAGCGGCGTCCTAGCGTCGTGACCGTCCCCAGTGGCGATAGATAATGCAGACCAATAAAGCAGCGGGACAGGTGACCAAGGCGTCGAGGAAAGGTCACGCTTGAAGCGCAGGTCGGCGAAGATGTCGTCAGAATGAACGTGCGCACGGCCGGGGGTTGTTCGTTAGCTATCGTCCTCGTCGCCGGCGTCGCGTCCTCGAAGTGATGGAGGCACGTCGGCAGGTTTGATTGAAGTTGACTCTGAGCGGCTGGGACTTAGCCCACGGGGAGGAAGAAGGTGCAACGAGAGATAGAGGAGAACAAGGGACGGACACTGCTGAGACGGCGAGCGCAGGCTGTGTGACCATCTCGTCACATTGGCGATATAGTGCGTCACGTCACTGCCTGAGCCGGCGGCAGCTGTGCTGTTCGTCGAAGCGCCCGTAAATGGTTCCGCGACGGTGCTCGACGCCGACCCATCGCCCCTCGATGCCGCATCACATCTCTGCATTGCGCACTGAGCTGGGTACGATTGCCATTCCAAGCTCCCTCGCTGTTCAGTGTCGTCCGGGAGGCAGTATTCATATGAGCAACTGATTGGCCGCCGCAGCGGCTCGTGAGCCAAAGTCATCTATCCAAATATGGCTGCATCCTCTCCTAACCGCCTGGCGTCCGCAGCCAATCGCCGACATCCTTGCAAGCCCATCCGTTTTCGCTGCAGCACGTCTTCAACGAGGCAGACCATTCAAAGTCGCGCCGGAGACCGTAGGCTTCAAATGGCTACGTTGCGCCCAGCATCCGCTAAGTTCCAATAGCCTCACTGAGCTTGGCTCGTCAGCGATACATATTAGGCTAGATTGAAGAAAGCGTCGCCCTTATAGCAAATATCGAACTCGTATCAGTTCCCGGCGGAAGCGAAAGCAACAATGACGTCCATCTTTAATATGGCATGCACAGCAGTTAAACTCGACCCCGACCCCAGCTGCGAGTATCGGTGAGAGCGGTTCCGACGCTATCAGCGCTTGTACCTGGAACGTCTGATACAGCTTCGGCACACGATTGTGGGGAGCACCTGGGGCGTAGAAGAGGTACAGAGCGTCGATATCTCGGAGAAACTCCGATAATCAAGGAGTTGCCCTGTTGGGACGAGATCGCCCGAGGCGGACAGCCTCGGGCCGGCCGCTGCCTGCACTCCTCAGGCGTCGAGCCTCAGCGTAAAGGCTCTGTGCAGCTGTTGGCCCATGAGTTAGCTAAACAGAGATGAGACGCAAGAACACTGCTGAATGTTCCGGATTCTCTGCACGTCAAGCATACAAATGTCACATAAATTTAATGACTAGTAACTCTCATAGCTCACCTGCCATCTCGAATTATAGGCTGGTTAGTAGTCACATAACTACATCTTGTAGTGCTTACCAACTTTATGTGTAAATGCTAATTTGTGAATAAACAACGGCGGCACCCCGCGCGGTCGTACCCTTACTCACTTGGGCACGCATAATACACGGCCTATGGCAAACGGCACTTGGGTATATTGCACATGGGAACCACGCAAGAGCGAGGCTGAGGTGTCCACAGGGGGTACAGCGGAGGGAAAGTGTGCAGAGGGTGTAATAGAGAGGCGAGGGCGTACAATAACGATAACAACAACAACACAACAACAGGGGGGAACGAAGAAGCCACTACCCAAAACAACAACGGAGGGGTGCGACGGTGCTCTGCTGAGTCAAAGGCATCCGCCACTGTCCGCGCGAACAAAGTCCAAGGAAAGTGTCCTCAAAGGGGGACGAGCTGAAATTACCATAGTCGTCTTAATGAAAGTCCAACCCCTATGGGCGCACCTCATAAATAATTGCTTGCTTCTTAGAAGACGAGAGCGGCCACGATACCAGCCAGAGCAAGACCGGCACCCTGAGCACCTGACCGAACGCCCGCATTGGCAGTCGTGCTGGGCGAGGTACTCGGCAGGCTAGGCGTCGGCACTGTGACGACGCTGGTCACGTCGTTCGGCGTTGTACTGAGAGTACTGAGCGTCACAGGCGGGACTGTGAGGGTCCCCGTAGATTGGACTCCGCTGGAAAGGAGAGTGACGCTCGAGGTAGAGACGGTGGGCTCGGTCGAGGCCTCAGAGGACGTGCTACTGACGACAGTGGTCACAACGCTGCCGCTCGAGTCGGTGCTAACAACGACGCTTGTGCTGCCGCTGCCCGAAGCGGAGGGCGGGAATGAGGACGAATGGGCTTCGGTAGTGGAGGCGGAAGTTGTTGCCGAGCCTGTCTGGGTGGCGGAGACCGTGATAGTCGAGCCCGAGAGGGTTGAGGGGAGTGAGGGCGTGATGCTCGAGACGATGACAACACTTGAAGACGCTACAGACCACGAGTCAGCATTTGCTTCAGTCGGGAAGATCACCTAACATCGACGAACCTGCGGAGCTTAGAGGCTCGGAAACCCCAGTGCTTGCCGCTGACACGGAAGGTGTAGTGTCAGAAACGCTGGAGGCTGCAGAAGAGCTGGCGAGCTCCTGACGCGCGACGCGAACTTGTGCAGTGGATGCTAGAAATGTAGTCATGAGAATTCGTGGCCAGAAATGGTACAGATGAATGACGCCTTGAGAGGCATATGTTTTCGCAATATCGTCACCCTCTCTCGTCACTGTGTTCGAGATGGTCACCGAACAAATGTCTCGCCTGGTCCCACTTGAGCGGACTATACAGCCCGTTGCAGTGCTTAAACTCCACAGGGGAGAGGTCGTGCAATATCTGCACTAGCCCACTATGGCATGTTCCGGAAAAGGGATACCATCGCAGAGAGGTATTTGCGTGAGGGCAGACGCGGGCATGATACGCCTAGCATACAGTCCGACGGCTGCATGTGCTGGGAGCCTTCAAATGCCTCAGAACCGTTGCACGGCACTCATTCGAACTCATTTGACAACCAGGGCATAGAAGCTGAACCACGTTACTTACCAGAAGCCGAACAGACAGCGTCGAAGAAGCTTGTACCGGAGGCGGCGTCGCTCGCGTCGCACGAAGACTGGATGCAGCCTGTGAATGCGGAACGGAAGGCAGAGCTTGCGCAAACGCAGCTAGTATCCCTGCAATTGTATCAATCAGCTCAATTCTTCCCGAGGCATGGGCGTAATTGGAGATAACAACAGAAACAGCAACTCACAGGCCGGAGCAGCCCGAGCCTGCGCCCGCACTCGTAACACAACTGTTCACGCAAGTAGGAACCGCGCTGGTGTCAATCGGTTTGGCAGCAGCCAGAGTGACAGCACAGCCCAGGAGGGCAGCTAACAACGATGACTTGTTGAACATCTTGTCTTGATTGGGTTAGGGCTCAACGTCGAGGCGAAATATGGCGTGCGTGCGCGTTGGAATGCTCTTGCGGCTCGATATTCGAAGCTTGAGGCTCGGGGCGGAAAGTGGGGGAAGCAAGACGGGAGCGGGAAAAGACAGTGGACCTCGCGGTGAGAGGGACAGAGAACGAGAAAGAGGGGTAGGTGTAAGAGCTAAGGGTAGCAAAAAAGGGCGTACGCTCGCTGTGGGTGCGTGACCAAGGTCAGGCTTCCAGAAGCTAGCTGAATGCAGGTAGAAGAAAGTCCAAAGCGGACACTCCAACCACCGGGCACGTAAATACAGTGAGAAGGCACCGTGCGAGTGTCTCGCCATATACGCCTGCCCGTCCCGTGACTCGCCCACTGCGGTTTGCCCTCCGCCCAGAGGACGGCGAGCGGTCCCCGCTGTCTCTGCCAGCTTGCCAACGAGTGCGCGAGCAATGAGTCATCTTGTCATGTGCGCACAGCCCTCACGACCCTTCCATCTGATCCTGTTAGTTAGAGGAGCACATCCGAGACTGTAGCGGAAAGCAGATTGAGTACACACCTCAAGAGAACCCTCAGAAGCGGCATGTCCACGAAATCGGAACAAGCGTCGGTGTGGGGAGCGATCATCTGAATCGGGACGTGCGGGTGGCGCGTCAATTGCATGTGCCCGCGTCGCCAACGGCGACAACGAACGACACCTGACACCTCGACGTCCCTAGTGGAGCTGGTATTCGAAAAGGCGCATGCACGCAACGAGACATCACTGGTGGTGATAGCAAGGCGCAGATAGTGTACAGCCCTGCATCGCTACTGTTGAGTATGAGGGTTATCGAGGGATGCTTTAAGGTGTTTCCGTACGTGAAAGACGGTCGACGATCAAGCTCAAGCTCGATTGAGCCTGCGGAGGTGGAAGACGCCCCAACATGTGCCTGCGTTCACTTGGCCGTGCAGTGTGGTGCACTTGGGCTAAGCCGTCGAAAGATGTTACGCTGTCGGTCTCGAACATGAAGCAGTGCAACATCATATCTGCCTGCGCGCTGCTAGCTGTTATTAGGACGTCTGCTCGGCCAATAATGACATGGGTCTCTAACGTTTCAACCAAAACTCATGCCGGACAGTTGAGTTTGTGCTTATTGGTCAATTTGACTCGATTACTGGTGCAGATCTGCTTGTTGTTGCCGGTGCAGGTGCCAACAGCTTAGCGACGCCTGCAGTTGTGTCTAAAGATGGCGGGACAGCGGAGTACTCAGACTGGACGTGGAATATCAGGATCAACGCAAACCGAGGCAACGCTCATGGCAACTTCGAACGCACGGGGTAAAATACTGAGCACTCCCGCAATCATGCGCGTTCAATTGGCGAAGGTGAGCTCACCGCCAGCTCAGCTACAATTTCCCCCCTCCGGTGAGGACTCGTCTCTCGTCGTATATATATATATATATGTACGATAGCTTCGGCCAATCACAGACTACGGTCGACAGAATATCAGTGTACAACTTTTGTTATTCGCCCAGCGGTAAATCATATACCCAACCCCGAAACAAAAAAACAGTTGGCTGAGTACGCGAAGAACGTAGGACACAGCTGGACGTACGACGATAACACACCGATGAGTGCGCAGTAAGCAGCATGCAAACATGAATTGGATAAATCTGGCAAAGCTCTTCGAGGTCCTTGAAAAAGCGTCGCGGTGCAATACCCACTACCAATTAACAGTAAACTAACAACGTCAATAAAATGGTATAGAGGTCAATAAAAGGCTAGAGCGTTCAACGGAAAAGTAAAACGGCCAACAAAGTGGTGGGGTAGGTCAATAAACGGTAGGGGAGACGATATGAAAAGGTAGTGGGAACGACGTCGCAAAGCTCCTCGTGAATGTGCCTATATCCGGTAATGACCCGGGCAAAAACGAGCGTAAGACTACTTTTCGCAAGGGTTCCACATGTAACGCATGTAGAACGGCCGTAAACGAAAGAGCTCGAAAGGGTCCGAGTCCAACTCATCCCATCACCCAACGACCTAGAGAACAAGGCCGGCCCCTGCGACGACACCGCCAAGGGCAACACCCATACCTACCAAAGCATTCCAGTTGACAGCAACGGCGGCGGCAGCGCCCGGGGTGCCAGTCGAGCTGCCAGACGCGCCGCTGCCGGTCGCGCTCGAGTTGGACGCCGCGCCAGAGGCAGACGAGAGAGCACTCGAGAGAGCGCCAGAAATCGACGAGGCTGCGGAAGAGCCCGCGCTCAAAGCCGAAGACGCAGCGGAGGACCCCGCCGAGGCGATAGACGAAGCGGCCGAGACGACAGACGAAGCGGCCGAGGCATCGCTAGTGGTTGAAGACGCGCTGGTAACACCAGTGTCAGTGGTCGACGCTAGTTATATCATCAGTTACTTCGCTATATATCATAAGGGCAAATAGGCGTACCGGCGTCGGTAGCAGACGACGTCGTCTGTGCTTGCGCAGCGAGTGCGACGACAGCAAGGACAGCAAAGGTCTTGAAGTTGAACATGGTGCACTGGGGTATTTGGGCTTTGCAAAAGTGGGGGGGTCGTGTGTGCAAAGGTGTTGAGCGAACGGAACTTTGTTTCAGTACTTATATACTATCTCCCCAGCCGCCCCGGGCGCCTGCAGCATCTGTTCAACAAGTGACGTCGCCACACGGTGGCTACCTCTTTTGGCACGCGACCCCAAAACGGGAGCGATCGAACGTTGGAAGGCTCCGAAAGATCTCAATCTGCTGCGTGTCTCGGGTGTGCCTGCGAAGTCTCGCCTGTGGCGATTGTAGCAGGACTGATCAGGCCAGGCCAGGCCTCGTAAACCTGAGGCCTCTAAAAAGACTTTCAAGAGGGAGGGGAACGACCATAGCCATCAAAGCTAGAGTGGCCTGTGAAGGAAGAGGTATACACGTGCGCCAGAAGAAGCGTTTGAGGTCAGCTGCCTCTCTGTGGGCATATCTACGCCTCTAAAATGTCCTCGTAGACATCGCCTCCGGGCCAGCGGGAAGGTCGCGTTCCAGTGATGATGTCTTGATACTGAACGGTCCTAGTCAGCCACTTCTGCTGGAAAGTCTCACAAGGTCTCACAATACGAATCGCTCTCATTTGTTTTGTTGCCACAAGTTTCCAACGATGACTGAACGTCTCCACGGCGGCGACCTCTATGACATCACGTCTTGGACAGCTCAGTTTCGATTTGTGTTTCGGTCTCCTTTTACTTTCTTGTGTGATATGACGAGCGATAAACGACTTGATGAAGCACGTACGGGGGCCGGTGACTACGCGCTCTTCCATCACTGCCCTGATGGTTAAATGCTCGCCCCCTACTGACTCCGGAACTGAGTTTGGACCCTGGCATGATGACTCCTTGGAGCATCACACGACTCGTATGCTAGTGGTGTATAGAAGCTGATCTTAGGATCATCATTCGCCATCGCAACGCGCCCTAGCGTGCAGCCGGGGTTTGGAGGTTTCTGTAACATTTTTGGGGCATGAAGCCGCTATCTGGGTACAAATCGAGCAATTCTAGGCTAGGAAACCATTCAAAATGCATGGACAGGACCCAAAATATTCCCTAGATAGGTAGGCCGGACCCAGGGCACCCCATATCCGTCGGATAATTGGTGAATTTGGCTCGCCATCGCCCAAATATCCAGGTTTGGCGACGCTCTGGCACCAAACGCGATCGCATATCCAGATGGTGGGACCAGCCTTGGGCCATTTCAGATCCAAATATCCGGACTTTGACGCAACCCCCGGGGCAATTCATCCGGTTGACGGGCCTAGCCTATGCAGGGTCCTGCATGGGCTGAGAAACTCGGTCTTAGTTCGCGCGAGCTTCGAAGGGACCAGTGATCAGGGTAAAATTCTGTGTTCAGTGCTTAGACAGAAGGCTACGCTGTTGGCGTATAATGACGGTTGACGACGGCAAGAATCATCCAAGTAGTCCACGCTCGTCTCTGAGAAGTCGCTTCGGAATGGGGCCATATTGAAAGAAGGCACCCTCGAATGGCACGGATGATCTTTGGAGCGGCGTTACAGCCAGATGAACGGATGCAGCGGCGACAGATGCAGTGATGTATTCGCGGAACGCTGGGGCAAGAGACATCACGCGTCAAGTATAGCATCGAAGCAGTGAGAGATGATGATTTGGTTCCCTTCATATACGTATTAGGTTCACGAGCAAAGCATCAGCATCATGATGCAAAAAGCCACGGATGATTCGTAACGACAGCAAGTTGGTCACTAAGGGCCGGCCAAAGCAAGGATGCGTGCGCGCGATGCGTACATTGATCAGCCTCGGAGGGCACCACCAATTCGTGGCACCCGTTAGCGTTGCTACATATCCACGCAGTGGAAGCAATAGGTAGTAGCTCGCAGGCAAGTACGACTATCCCAGACGGATGGGCTCGAACAGAGCGAAGCTGTTGGGAAAGCTGCTGTGAGCTAACCACCTTACAGCTGCGCTCGTATCAAGGCTCTCTGCCTCAGCCAGGCACCTGGCCGGGTGGTCTGACAGCCACTTTTCACACCCTTATGTCGCTAGTAGGTCACGCGGATCGAATACAAGGTAGGCTTCGGGCGTCCCATACACAGGAGAAAGCTGTAGAGAAGGGGGCGACATTTACAGAGAACGATGCAGGCGTAGCATTGGCAAGGAAGTGGTACGCAAAACGAGCAAACCCAGGCATTGATAATGAATGGAAAGCGCGGCCGGAACTTGCCGAAAATCTGACGAGAGTTGACACATTTACGCTTACGCGGTGTAAGCTGACGCAAACGTCGTCCAGGTCAGGCTCGACGTTGTCCAGCGCATCTTTCTCCTCGACCTCGACCTCCTAGACATCGTCAGCTCTTCAACTGCACACCATTTTATTGTATCGTTGGGTCCTCCAATATTCGTGCAATTCTCGCATACGGCTGGATTAACCACGCACGATACTACACTCCGTGTCAGCCAGCATCCACAATGGACTTCCCTCTTTTCGGCGATGGCCCCGGGGGGCGGCGGCGTGAAATCAACCTAGGTGGACTTATCACCGCAACCAGCCAAACGTCGTTGTTACAGGACGCGAAAGCACGACGCATGCAGCGGAACGACTTACGCAAGCGGCAAGAAAGCGCCACGCGCATACAAAGCTGGTGGCGCGGTCGCAAGCATGCTCAACGTGTGCGCAGCGAGCTCAGACGGACATTTGAGGATAACATCACGAATATCACTGGCCTGCGATGTCTGGTACTTATTGGCAAGGACGAGGCTTTGCTTGGGCGGTGGGCGGAAGCGATACTGGTGGATAATGCAGGTGAGTACATTCGATGCAATCGTTTCTTTCTTACGAGACTTAAGTATACAAAACGGTAGCACACCTAATCGAAGCTGGGTCAGATCCCACGTGGACAATTTCTTTACGCAAAGTATCGGTACTCCTACTGCATGCCGTATCAGACAGCCCACTGTACGCGCCTACATTTCTTCACATATCCTCCACTCACCTGCCGTCTTAGATCTTCTGCCGCAGATGCACAACTTCGGGTCATCGAAGCTCTTCTATCGCCGCAGTCATCGTCGAAGCTCTCGAGCGCACAGATGGAGCTGCTCTCGTATCTCCTAAACCATGGGTATTATAGCCTGCTTGGCCGTGCAATATCCCGCGTCGTACGTTCTCTTATCAAGAAATTCAACTGTCGCTAATCCTTTGTGTAGCCCGCGCAGTCCAAGTCAATACCCAGCCTACCAACGCTGGTATCACTTTCCGTCTTGCCCTTTACACTCCTTGACCCTGCGTCCCCCCAGTTCATGCTCGCCGTCATTCACTTCTTTTCAGGCGTGCTCACTGTCCCCCTCTTGCCGAACCGCCTCCCGCTTCTCTCTCTTACTTTTCTCGCGCCGCGTATTCCTCTACAGCATCTCACCGTAGACATAGTTCCGCGCGTGCTTGCTTTCATCACTTCAGACGATGCGCGCGTCCAACTTCTGGCAAATCTGACTGCATTCGCTCCGCCACGGTACAATGCTCTCCCCGCACCTGCGGTCGCGACTTACTTGCGCCTCACTGCGGAAACAATGATGGTATTGCCGATTCATGCACTTGAGCCGCCGGAACGTAATACTCCACGAAGCAACGCTTGGGCCGGAGATGACGAGGAATCGGACGAAGGAGAGTCTAGTACACACGTCGAGGTCGTATCGATTTTCACTGCGCCGTCTCGGCCGTTGCCTACCCTCGACAGCAAGACGCGCATGAGATTACAAACACTGCCATCCCCCGCCCACTTGAACTCGCTTGTGTCCGTAGCATACAAGCATACTGGCAACACGAGCAGGGAGGCATTGGTGAAGTGGTTGCAGGCCCTCTCGACGATCTGGCCCAGCCGTCGAGATCGGATTGCCGGCGTCGTTGTTGCGTGGAGCGGCGGCGGGCTCGTTAGGGAGGTGTATCGAGGGTATGTCAGACGCAACCCTTTCGGAACCGCGGGAAACGTTGCTGCGTTGACAGGTACGCCACCAGCGTCGCCTCTCGATGTAGTCACCCTACTAACGCCGAAAAGACCCAGCTCACGCTGCACACTGGCCGCCGCTTCTCTTTCTTGTCGACCTCTACAATCAAGCACTGCTCACAATGGGTGACGACGAGTTCTTTTCGTCCTCTCCAACTACACTTTCTTCTGCCACGCTGGCTGCCAGCACAGCGACGACCACCATTACTGCGCGGAATCCGCTCACGCTAGATGAAATCGCATCGTTCAGCAAGCAGTTGCTCAGTATCGTGTTTGTGCTGTATTGGAGAGAAGACCAGACGAACGTGAGCGAAGCAACTGTCCCAGGCATACCGAACTTAAGCCTGGAAAATGTGAGAGAGCGTATGACGAAGCTACTGCAAGCGATACACGCGAGAGAGTGCGCCATTTATGTTCTGCTGTGGCAGCCGCAAGTATACTTACGTGCTCGGCTGTAGCTCGCGACGTCCGTTTACGCCGCCAGACCACTGGCTTATGACCTCGCAAGTTGACATTGGCCCTTTCGTCGATGCTGCCATGTACGCACTTTGCTTTTTACCGTACACTCATCGCACGTCATTTTAACTGTTGCTCTTTTAGCTACGAAGAATCGCAAATGTCGCACGATACTACCGGCACCGCACCGCGTAACCTTTCTAAGCGCCAGATCGCCCTTCTGTCTCCCCGTCTCGGCGTGCTCAACAACATCCCCTTCGCGATCCCGTTCGATGTGCGTGTGAGCATTTTTCGGAGTTTCGTACAAAACGACGCTGCTGCTCGTGGATACAATTTGCGGAGCCGGCACGCTGGGTTTAACCCGCCCGTCCGGGTTACTGTGCGTAGGGGCAACATTGCACAGGACGGGTTCAATCGTTTGGGTGATGTGGACCTCAAGGGACCAATTGCGATCACCTTCATCGACCAGTTTGGGCAGGAAGAGTGAGTGCGCCGCATACTTTTGCGCCAGGCCAGGGCTCATCAGGATCTTGCACGCGTGCAGGGCAGGCATCGACGGTGGTGGAGTCTTTAAAGAGTTCCTCACCGAACTATGTAAGGAGGTGTTCGACACCGATCGTGGGCTGTGGCTTGCGAGCAAGAAGAACGAGCTGTATCCCAACCCGCATTCGTATGCGACCGAATGTGAGCACTCTCGTTCGTCTAATGTAGGCCTATGCTTACACCAAGGTCTCAGCGGGAAGCCTGGCGTGGTACCGGTTCATCGGGCGCATACTCGGCAAGGCACTCTACGAGGGCATCCTGGTTGACGTCGCGTTCGCGGGATTCTTCTTAGCGAAGGTGAGCTCATATCCGGCTTGATTTGTTTTCCTCCCTGACAAAAAACGATTATCGTTCTTAGTGGCTAGGCAAACAAAGCTTCTTGGATGACCTTGCATCGCTCGACCCGGAACTCTATCAAGGCCTCATCTTCCTCAAGCATTACACCGGCAACCCAGAAGACCTCTCGCTCACGTTTGCCGTTACTAGCGAAGGTTTGTTGCCGTATTTGCTTGCTTCGTGCCGCTGATGACGACCTTGCGGCCAGAATTTGATGTAACCAGAACGATCCCGCTCATCCCGAATGGCGACCAGATACCAGTGACACGCGAAAACCGTCTGCAATACATCTACCTCATTTCACACTACCGGCTGAATAAGCAGATTAAGCGCCAGAGCGACGCGTTTTTCGAGGGCTTGTCGGAGATGATTGATCCCAAGTGGTTGCGGTACGTTGCATCTCGTGCTCGTTGGACTGAGTACGATGGTGTGGGTGCTGATATGAACGGGCACGTAGGATGTTTAATCAGCAAGAGTTGCAAATTCTCCTTGGCGGCGTTAACTCGCCGATTGATCTAGACGATCTGCGCACAAATACACAGTATGGCGGGCTCTTCAACGACCACGAGTCAACAATCGAAATGTTCTGGCGTGTCGTAAACACTTTTAATCAGGACCAGCGACGTGCGCTTCTCCGCTTTGCAACGAGCTGCAGTCGACCGCCGTTGCTGTACGTGTCACCTCCTATCTTGAAGATCACAACGTGCTGGCGCTGATGTTCTGCTGTGCTATGCAGAGGTTTCAAGGAGCTTGTGCCCAACTTTGCCGTACGTGACGCAGGCTCAGACGAGAATAGATTACCGACAGCAAGCACCTGTGTGAACCTACTCAAGGTAAGCTCAGCCTCGAATCTTCCTGGTCTGTCGATTGTTGACGATTTGGTACCAGTTACCGCGATACACGAGCGAAAGGATGCTACGGGAGAAGCTCTTGCAGGCGATACAGTCGAACGCCGGATTCGATCTATCGTGACGAAACTCGTGAGGCTGCCATTGATAATTGCTGCGCTATTTTAGAGTACGCCCATGTACATTACGAGAGGGTTCGCATCTCGCTCCTCGGCACATTGATTGTTGAACGAAGACTTATGCCTCGAGGCTTCATACCTCATGTGAGGTCTGCTCTCGCACAATCTGTGTGGATTTCACCTGTTCGAGCATCTCTGCTGCGGTCTGCAGCTGATCTTTACACATGTTCAGGGGGACGTTGGCTGTTGAAAAGGACGCTAGCCAGCCATCTAAAACATGTCTGGCCGGATGATATGTTGGGACGACGCATTCCGCGAGCCGGATGCGCTGAACCCTAACTGCGGCTGTGTTCTGTCTAACAACGCGGCGATTTCGACCGACCTCTTCGACGCGCCTGCAACCATTGCTCCCAATACTGTCGTCCTACGAGCCCAAGCATGCAGGATGAGAAACAGACGCCTGTCGTAAACGCACCAGACCCCTCTATTCATAGGCTCTCGGATGTGTCGACGGAGTGCATGTTTCTCAGTAGGCGCTATCTCGAAGCGGAGGTCGAAGGGGTAAAGGCTAAACGGGAGATTAGTAGAGTGTACTATGCATGCTAAGCCATTAATATTCAGAGAGGATTCCTCGACGTATGATGTGCGTGGGGGAGTAGATTTCATCTACAAAGATTACCCTTATTCCATAGAATTTTCTTTCCCTTTGAAAGCATTTGGTCGCACTCGCTCCATTCTTGTCGAGCCATGGAAACTGTCTTGTAGAGAAAGCTATTTGGCATATGCAGCAACAGAGACGGACGCAATTAGCGCGTATCGCCCTTAAGTATCAAAGTAAGGCCACATTTTTGAGAGGAGGATAGATGGGTGGAGAATACACAGAGTAAATGCTTGTTCGGTTAATTACGACAGCTCACTGGCTCTACAAGCTCGGCCGCTTCTATTCCCAATATATGCTATCGTCATTGTACAACAGACAGAGTATGGTAGCCAGAATACATACTCATACCTCTACAATACCAAGCCATAGAACACTGCGAAGTTTTTAGACGCGTAAGATAGCTCGTTAGCAGCGAAGGTGTCCAGCGACGCTCACCGTAATATCTGAATCAGCATTGCCGACGCCATCGCCCTAAGGACCGCAGGAGCTGCCATCGACACTGATCCTTGCGGCCGCCACGACACGAACGGTGCACCGCCCGCAAACTTGCAGGGGCTGCAAGCTCGGCCCGGGTTGTGGCACTGCAGGATCAAGTCGAGGGACGCTCTTGCGGCAGAGGGCGCTTCCCTGCTTCTGGCATACATTTCGCTACTGCCGCCGTCCTCGGGAGCTACAAGGACCGTCAGCAGAGCGTGGGTTACGCAGAGAGGAGAGGAGAGGCTTAGTGGTATGGCAGGTGAATGAGTGGGTGAGAGCCAGCTCGGTATGGTACCAGGAAGGCCGTCTGCGTTGCTTTTATAGCTTTCTCGGGTGGCGGCGTCCGCTCGCGTTCTCCGAGACCTCCGCCCGCCCATGAGTGCTCTCGGAGCTCAAAAACCAGTGCGCTCCACAGATCAGGATAGCAAGCCAGGGATAGCAAGGTGAGAAGCCTCGGTCTCAATTGCGACATGCGCGTGCGCGGGTAGGGGGCTGGCCCGCAGCCGCCGCCGAAGACGTGCCGCCTAGTGCTTGTCAGTTAAGCGTACTCGACAGGTGCTCCTGGGTACCTGACCGCAGAGGCACGTCCTGCGCTTCCCTGTAGCCTACATCTCCTTCGACCGGGACGCAAGCTATGAAACCTTTCGTCGTTCTGCGCGGCGCAAGCAGCGGGCTTGTGCACAGAAGCGACCTGAAGGGCACAGAAGCCTGCTCGGTAGCTGACAGAAGCTGTCACGATCACGGCAACATGCGACATCATGACGCACGCGCAGAGCTTGACGATGCAGCCCGGGCACGCCCCATTCACCGGACACCGAGTCAGAGCCGCCGACGAACGAACATAGCGGGTACGGATATTCCCGGTGGTAGCGCCCTGCCGAATGTAGCCAGGGCTTACTTCCGGCGCACCAGTGCACCCACGCTACCATGTGAATCGAGTCGGAGATCCTTCGTAGCATGGAAGTTAGCGTCGCTTCGCGCATTCAATCCTGTGCCTTTCATCATTTCTGGCCGATAAGCTAGGTCATTTCATCGTCATTATGCGCGAACATGGAAAGTAGACTTACATCGAATGCACCTCGGCTGAGAGAGTGTATTGCCAACACGGTAGAAGGGCATGCAAGGCACACGAAGAGTCGGGAAAGTAGAAAAGCACTAGCAGGTGATGACACGATGCCACGAAAAGTCAAACAAGCTCGGCGACCGCACTACCGAGCGTGAGCATTGTCATGCGGCCGAATAAACTCGCTATGCGAAAGGATAAGGCTAGGGCGAGGCACAGCTGAGATTATTGGATTGTTAGGCAGAAGCTAAGAGTGTCTAGACCAGGGGAACACACCGACAGCGAAGGCAGGAAACGCCGAGCGTCTGGGTTCGCGCTTTCGGAGAGTGGTTTCTATTCGTGCATTGTACGTCTGATTTAAGCTCATTCAGGCGTGTGCACGCGACCGGCGGATGACGGGTCTTTCAGGCTCACAAGCATTACATGTGGTGTACGCCTCGATTGGGAAACGCGATGCATACATGACGAGGTCTGCCAACACACAATATGCCGAGCGGAAGGTATTTGTCAGATTGTATTGCTCTGAACGCCGAGCATCGGTAGATACTCACCAGTCACCACCTGCGCCCTACTCGCCCATCATCTACCCGCTCATCCCTGTGGAAATTTCGCTTATCCCGCTGATCATCTCGCACACCGTACTCCTTCCGCTCTCGATGCCGATGCGCCTCTTCGACCTCGCGGCGGTTATACATGTCACCGTACCCACCGTCCATGCCATCACGTCCACCGCGCACGGTACTTGGCGTCGCACTCTCCATCTCGCGTTTCTTCTTTGCGATGAGCGCAAGTGCACGCTGTCGCTCTGCCGACTCTCGGCTCAACCGTTCTGCGACCTTGTTGTCGGCTGTGGTAAGGCTGCGCGACGATGACGGCGGAGGGCGGGGTTTGGGTGGGGAATCGCCCTTGGCGAGTTGCTGGTTAATGCTCGTGAGCGGGTCGTGCACAGATTTGCGGGCGAGGTCGCGTAGCCTGTCTCGCAGTCAGCCAGGGATACAGACGGAGACGCAGGGGCTCACTTCTTGTCTTCGTCCAAATCCCGCTTCCGCTCGTGGTCGCGATCTGAATACCATGGATTGCGGTCCTTTTCTGATGGTGCGAGTGGGATCCCCTGCTCGTTCGTTGACGGACCCGACTTGGTCTTCTGTGATGTCTTGATCATGATAGCCATGTTTTGCTGTAAGGAGAGTTCAGGAGGCTCCGCGGCGGTATACGTGCAAGTAAACTCACCCGTTCCAGATCCTCGAACAAGTTGATATGTCCCCCGGACGTCAAGGATGAGGGTCCTGCTCGTGGCCCCTCGTCCTCTGTCTCGTCGTCTTGCCGGTGTTTGCTTGCTTCTGAGAGGCCCACCTTTTGACGTAGAAGTTCTATTCTCGCTTCTGCGTCCTAGAGTCTCATATCAGTGCATGATTATGGTAGCAGAACATGTAACACGCACCGCAAGCATAATCTTTCCTTCCTGTGCTGCCTCTTTCAACCGTGCCTCTTCCTCATCTCGGTGCACACGTTCGATGTTGTCTCGCCGGTACGGATGGTAGGATTTGTGATGTGCAATATTGAGCTTTCCCATTCTTTCTCGTTTGAATGACTTGGAGATAAGAAACTGCGAAAACGAAAGACGGACGATGAGCGAGGACAGAGCGACTGGCGCTAGTACAGGACCCACCTCTTAGGGTTAGGGCCGACTTGGGAGAGAGGGCCTACCGATCTCAGCACTCATATCAGTGCCCACTGCCCAGCCGACCTTGAATCCGCCAGACTTAAAGCTTAAAGCTTAAAGATGGAACCAATCTCGGCAGCGCTTGCACGATGCGGTTTACCATCTGTGCGGCAGGATGCTCTGGAACCATTCTCTGCGCGCATAAGGGACGAAATTTTATTCAAATGATCGAAACCGTGTCGGTGGCCGAGCACACATTTTTACGCCGTGCGAGAGTATATTCGCTGTCTACTACTACGTCTTGAGCGACTAAAATGATATATCCTATCCTATCTCTCAACGCTTATATTCTCACATATTGTGGCAAATGACGTCGCGCAAAGGGGGCTATTCTAAGCTCCTCCGTCCACGTCTCGCGCGTGGAAAGCGTAGGTTCCAACGTCGTCGCGTCCGGAGAGCGTAGTGTGTGACGCAGGGTGACATTGCAGTGTGGTATGCGGGCAGGCAGCCGCTTTGTGAGGACGTCGAACTGCGCGAGCGAGACACCGGAGTCAACGAGGACGAGAGGTGCCATCAAGCACGCGGAAGACACGGAATCATCGATCGCTTTCCAGGGCATTTCAAGGAGATTATCCACAGAGATATTTTTGCATAGGGCAATGACAAGTCGATGAAGCGAGCGAAGGCCGTCTCCTGCTTGAGCACCAGCGGACCGAGTAATGAAGGCAACCTCCAGGTAAGAGCGTGATAGCGAGCCATCGTCCCAGGGCATTAGGTGAACAGAGAACGCATATTCAGCTACAAATCGTCAACATCTGCGAGCGTCACGACCCACATTCAATCTCACCTTCACTGTTGGCCGGCTGTCTTTGAAACGCTGTCATCCGCAAGTTCGGGCACTGTCGGTAGAAGAGTTCAGATATCTTGCTAAATGCCAATAGTTCAGATGGTGCCGGATGAGACAGAGCATAGGCACGCGTGCGATAGCTATGCCCTATACTGGGTGCAATAAAGAGCAAGATTGCTGGCCACCGCTGTGAGCAATCGCGCAAGCGCACTCGTCTGATGTGCTGAAATGACGCTCTACAGCCAGGAACCTGGAGGATGAAGTCCCTGGCCCAGCACACGCGATACATGTCGAGCTCCTCCAAGAGGTGCAGTGCGCCAAGGAGGCGAAGTAGTGTCGAGAATGAGTGGAGACGGTACGACGCAAGGTTCAAGCGCGTGAGGCGGAGTTTAAGATTGCTCCAGACTGGGCGAAGGCGTAAGGGAAAGACAGGCCAACGCCCGCCCGCCCGATCCTGGAAAGCGTATGAGGTCTGGCAGAGGGCCGACAGGGCACCAACACTCAGGCAACGTGATGACTCAGGATTAGACAGCATGCCGAGCTGCTTAAAGGTGATCAGTTGGACATGTAATGCGAGCCATGATGAGGTCGAGGAGCTAAAGATCTTGGAGAGATACCAGGCATCGAAGGACCTTGCAAGCACAAGCCGGTGGAACGGAATCGGACGGAACAACTGGGCCCAGCGGTGACAAACCAGTGACATGGACGACAGAATCTTCTTCGCAGGGCGAATCATGCGCTCGTGAGGGTCCGCGGGTAGCAGACTGCAAATAGTCGCGTCGATGAGCTCGTTTGGGAGCTTCGACCAGACTTCGGTCGACAGGGTCAGCGAGACCTCGTGGTTGAGCTCATTGGCAACGTCTTCGAACGACGCCGAATATTCTACATCCATTCCTGCTTTGATTCTGCGCAAATATTATGCTATACCATACGCAATCAAGACGATGTAGAACGTACTCGCAGATACCAAGGACCGTAGCGTGTATCTTCTCTCAGTCAACGGACAAATTTCTCCAACCTTTGGTCAACACGTTCAGCTGTGCGTCCCATCGTTCTCTGGGAGTGAGAGGGGTAGGGGTGATATAGGTTGGACGATATATGCGAGCAAAAGTTAACAAGAACAGAGAGTCGACGCGTCAATAAATGCGCAGGAGGATCTCGATCAGCGCTCAGCCGCGGCGCAGTACTAATTGAAATTGAAGTTTACACCACAGCACGCGTTGCGCACAACTCTAACGGAGTCTGTAGTACTTCTGAAGAGTTTTACATAGCAAAACTGGTGTGTTTTTGGCGGGTCTATGCCATGAAAATAAGCGTAGTTTTTATTTATTTTTGAGGACTTTTCCAAAAGGGGTTAAATAAAGCCCAACTTCCCCCAATTTTACGCCGCTAAGAAGAAAATAGGTGCAAAATTATCCACAAATAGTAGCAAAACTGGTGAAAACCAATTCTATCTTCAATTTTTCTCAGGCAAAAACCAGAGAAACGCGGGAGACGAGCCTACTGCTCTCCGCGACATGCACCGAGCAAAACCACACATTACGACTCGAGCCGAAGGTCATATATCGTAGCCCAAAGGATAGAATCTCACTCAGGCCCGTCAATGCAGGGGTCACTGCTGTGCATCAGTCTTGTTAGTGAACCAACCCAGCCCTTCTCGACATCGGCATTCAGCAACCTGTAAGGCCAGATGTGTCAATATCATTTATTTGATAGTAATGAGAATACAAATTCCAGCGTACCGGAATCAATCCTAGCTATGCAGGCGTACGATCCCCAGGAGATCTAAAAGCCCGTACCGCCGAAACCACTACCAGACAAGCCTGCGCCAAATAGCCCGCCAGCTGATCCAAACGCAGAATTGCCTCCGCCTCCGCCAGTAGTTGCACCAATCAAAGTGTTTGCAAGCGTACCGAACGTGTTAACTGTGTCGAGCACAGTCGCGTGGTCTCCACCTCCTGACTCCGACCCGGATGCATGCCGAGCGTGCCTAAAGCCAGCATACCTGAGCCCAGTCGCACTCGCACCGAAGCCTGCGCCAGCAGCACGCATCGAGTGCGGTCTAAGTGCACTCGTCACCCGCGCGCGCGACGCAGCAGCGATGGCCTGCATCCGCCAGCGCACATAGACGGCGCGCCAGCTGGGGTCTGCAAAGGCCGGCAGCGCCGAGCGTGGCAGCGGCGTGGGGAACGGTGTGCGCGTGGACGGATCCGTGAGCGCGAATAGTGCGAGGACTTTGTTCCAATGTCGATGCGCCTCCTCGGGCGCGGCGCGGGCCTCAAAGACGGCGAGGCGCAACCAGCCGCGCCGGTCTAGCACAGGCATCGAGTCACTGCAAGAGCATGGAACAGAGACCATCTCGTAGAGGGACGGGAGAAACCGGGGAAGGAGGTGACACTGATGATGCGATGCTATCAGTGGTGGCTAGTAGAGGGCCGGCGCGTGTGTACGTACCGCTTGAGGACTCGCACCCATCCTGCTCGACATCCAAGCATACTTCGCTGATTCGATAGTGCCTGTGCTTTGAAGACCTGGAACCTCGCAGTTGGCATCAATCCAGAAGAAGAATGAGTCTGTCATGCGTGAAAAGACTTCGGTCGGGCGACCGTTCTCGTCAAGCAGGCTGCGTAGGCGATATTCGCGCATCGATTCGGTTCCGATGGATCCAAGGGATACGCATGGAAGATCGACACGGACGATCGACAAAATCATGGAGACGAAGCAAATCCAGATTAGCTGCGCAGTGACCATGAAACGACGGACGAGACGCACCATCCGTAGTACTCCTCAGGTGAGTATCCTGGCACAGAACTGCCGTTGTACCCTGTCGGTTGATAGCTCATCGACGACTCCTGCGGTGTGGACACTGCGCGTAGATGCTTGTGTGGAGGATGTGTTCAGGGTTATGACTGTACTAGCTCTATGCCAGACTGTTCCCCGGGCGACCCCTTTGCGGATGAAGGCCATCAAGTGTCTACATGATAAGGCCTGGGACTTCTTCATTCACTTCGAGATCGACGTTAAACGGGCGGAGCAAACATTCAGGCTGTGATGGACTTTGTGGGAATGGCTTCAGAGCGGTGAGATGATGACCGAACCGAAAGCCAGGTGTTCATCAGCGACTCGGAGGTTGTGGGGTATAGCAAGAACGGACATGCAAGGACCTTGTCAATATGTTCATGTTTGATGGGGACATAAAAAAGTCAAATACTCACTCATGGCGAGCGGGATTGTGTCTCTGCTAGTAAGAACGGCTTGTGCAGGATTCACATTTGCGGGGGTTCACGAGAGCTGTGATTAGATAGACGCACATGTGCCTGAGATGATCGTACCTGAACTTGAAGTTAACATCACCTACGCGCCCCGGGCCCGCATCCTGCTCACAGCGGTCATGCACATGCCTCAAGCTGTCGACAACCCTTGCCCGGCGCTCTTCTGGCCTGAGGTTGGCTGTGCGTATGAAGCGGCGCTTATATACTTGGTGAGCCTAGGAGTGAAATTCATTGGACGAAAAGGCAGTACTTACGCGTCAGGGTGGCAGGGCCTGTCAATCAACATGTTAAATACACGACTTGACCTGCTCTCCGTCCTCGCCGGTCTTCCCTCACTCTTTTTCTTTCCACCATCATCTCCCCCTCATTACTGCGAGCATGAAGTACTCGTACTCGCCGTCGGCAGGCTTCTCGAGTACGCCGGTCCATACTCGCGCGATATCGTTGAATGTAGCACCGCCAACGAGCCAGTATGCTAGCCCAACGGCCCAGTCTCCTTCTCCTCTATCGCCTCCGTCTTCATCTTCAAGCTCGTTTTATGGCAACTTCGCCGGTTCCCAATCACAACCAACACCTCCCCCATCATATGCTCCACAATTGCCTCCTCGATCGCCAGAACACGACCGGAAAACGTCGACTGGCTACATTCCCGTTAGCTATGATTCCTATGGCGGCGGCGTTACACCTGAACAGTTTTACGGAAGGTGCGTACTATGTATTTTTATCGCAGAAGTTGAATGCTCACGGACATTGTCTCTTGGCATTACTTTCGTACCCCCATTCCCCTATTCGCTCTCTTCGGCTCCGCTGCTATCTATGGCTGTGCGGGGACGGTGCCTTGAACGTACCGCCGCTGCTTATAACGTCCGGCGCTTTCGCTTTGGCCCTTGCAACCACCTCTGTACTTGCATCCCTTCCTCCGATTTACATGCGCAACCTGTGCTCCGTTGCTGTGCTTCACACAGCCTGATCGACACGAGTGGGCGTCCGACAGCGATCTTTTCTCGCGTTGCGGATGCATTCTTTTTCTGGTTGGACCAGTCTTGCGACATTCACGGTCTGCGCGGCACTGGTATGATCGAGCCTGCCAAGTACGGCTGGATGATGGGCAAGTTGGGCTCAACACCTGAAGCAGTAGGTCCTCTTCGCACTTCATCATGTCCATCTCTCACATGTACCGGCCTACGCAGTGCCGAATGATACAGCCATACATGCTCTCTTTCTACACCACGACTGGAATTCCATTCCGCTACATCCAGACGCCCCAGGGGCAGGTTCCCGTCGTCGACCGGCGCGGTTGGCTGCACATGGTCGTCTTCGAGGCGAAGGCGACTCCGCAGGAGTCGTACCAACACTGGGCGAAGAGCCTCACACTCCAATCGGCGCGCAACTCGCGCGACTACCTGCCTTCAAAGGCCTCCTTATGACCTGCGAAGGCATGCTCGACATGGATTCGGCGCGCGAATTACAATCGCAGATACAGATGCAGCTTCGTACGCACCTTCCGGGTCACGTCTCTCTCGGTTTCAACTGGCCGTCCTCCTCCTGGCCTATAAGTTTCGCGAAGTTCCGCGAAGGGCGTCTGGAAGAGATTCGCCCGCTGCAAGAGTTATCGCTGAAAAAAGAGTCGATGGTGAGCCCCCAGTTTTGAGTACATTAGGCGTGCTCAGATCTTGGTTCTAACTTTGCTTCTGGGTCGTTTCTGCAGAATATACCGATTGAAGGAACGATGTTACGCTCTATGTGAGATGCCGGGGAATGCGTTTGATAGTTGTACAAACTGCTTGAGCTCAAGCTGAAGCCCGACCTTCGAAGTACTCTGTGTCGAGGCGTATAGGGTATATTACAACAATGTGACATCGCGCTTGCACAAACTCCAAGAAGAACCTAACCCGTGATGCAGAATGATAACGAAGATATTACTGTAGTGCAGAGAACCAACCCACGATCGAGCTCAGAATCCATAAGTAGTCCCCCCGAATCCTGTGCCGTACCCGCCATTGAAGGCAGTGCCTCCCAGCGCACCCAGCGCTGCCGCTCCCCCAAGACCGTTACCGTTGTTGCCACCACCGTTGCCGCCCCCGCCAGAGTTGCCGCTGAAGGCGCCGATGACGGTGTTTGCGAGCGTGGCAACCGAGTTGACAGTGTCTAGCACAGTCGAGTGACTGTCTCCGCCTCCGCCGCTGTCGCCACCTCCGCTGCCCGAATTACTGCCGCTCCCGCCTCCGCCTCCTCCTCCACCTCCTCCACTGGCTGCACCGAAAGCACCCGTCCCTGCACCCATGGAGGCCGCATTGAACCCGCTGTATGGGTTGAAGTTGTAGCTTGGCCCCGCCGAACCCATGATGTTCTGCACAATCGCCTCGCTTCGTGCACGCGTCACACTCGCGACCGTCTGCGTTTGCCAGGTCATGTACGTCGCGTTGAGCCCGGGGTCGGCGATCGCGGGCAGCGCGCTGCGCGGGAACGGTGTCGGGAACGGCTTGCCCGTTGCTGGATCGACGAGCGGGAGGTGCCCATGAATATTCTATTGATCTCCTGTCGGCTCGGGGCCCAGAAACCCAGCGGAAGTGCATGTACTCCAAGGGGTTGAGGATAAATGAAAGACTGAATGCGGGCTCACTTGCACCGAGAGTCACTGTTGGACATGCTGTTATTCGGGCGGATGTCAGCACTTGAAAGGAAGAGCCACAAGCTACTGACCCGCGTCGCGGTTGGTCATAAACACCACCTTCGTCTTATGGCGTTGTGGCCGCTGATTGAGCGTGCCGAAGAGGACGGACGCGATATGTGCAATCGCAGCGATTTCGGGCGGGGCCGCTTCGTTGATCGTAGAATGGTGCGACGGCGGGCAATATCCTAGTGCAGCCATTGTTACGATCCAGTTGAGTGGCCAATACTGGCTTACTCTCGAAGCAAGCACAGTTCGAATACGCGGGAACAGCGGGATGCGAAGAGGGACTTCATCAGGGTGTAGGGAACCACTCCACGTCACCTCGTTGAGCGTCAAGAACTCGAGGCTTTTACAGCTGCCCACAAGCCGTAAGAGGATGCAACAGGAGGGTAAGTGGATGCCAAAAAGGGACATTGTGGATAATGTCACGAAATGGGAGAATGGAGCCCTCAAGGATATGGTCGAGCGAAATGTAGGCAAGCCGATGGACTGCGAAGCTTTGTACATGTCCATACCGTATGGCATCAGAAGAAGAGCTTTGAGGTAGCGTAGCCGGGAAATCAGCATTTCCACTGCTAGAGGACGCAGACTGAAGAGCGAAGACGCGATAGTAATGCTCTGAATATGTGCCGCGAGCCAGCCAGAGAGTGAGGAACGCAAGATATTGCCGAGGAACACGGCATCCTCTACTGTCTCGAGTCGAAGAGAGGCAAAGAGCCGGGGGCGACAAAGCTTCGCCCAACGCTTGCACGCCAAGGAAATCATGGAGCATGCGTGACTTCGAGACGGTGCTTCTGTCAAGCAGTCGGACACAAGGTTGATAATGTCGACCGGTAGCTGCGACCATGCTTTCGTGTCGAGGCTTATCGGAAGAGCTGGTGTGCGAAACTGGGGAAGTCAGGCAGGGTATTCGTTCAAGGTACGATAGTGTTCTGACACGCACCATCCTATCTGTGCTCCGCTTGAACTCTCCATGTCGAGGAGCAACAGGCACGCGACGGCTTGCAGTCGCGCTAGCGGGCTGTCTTCTGCTTTTTTTGCCAGGTTCCGGCATTCTTGCTGTTGCGAATGTCGATCTTGGGGGGGGTGTATTTCGACGGGGGAGGAATGTCAAAGTGGCCAGCCCCTGCTAGGCCCAGTCAGCTCGGAGAGAGGAGCATTCTTATTATCAGCGCTTTGCATAGCTTAGGACCCTTGGGCTGTGCAAAGCGCAAAAGCGATACTCAAGTACCGCACGTTCTTCCAATCTGCTGCGTAAATTGACACCGGCGAAGCCAAGGAGCTTGCCAGAGAGCGCGTGACTCACCCAAAATATAGCGTCTGATGGCGCATCAATGCATCACGGACAGCACCGCCATGGCCCAAACGAGAAAAAGCGCCGCAAGCTCTCTTCGCAGACCTTTTCGTCGTTGCTTCAAGTTTAGCAGGACACGCGAGATCTGACCTGCAATATTGATACTAAGCTGTGCTTTTCATAGGCAGAGACGCGCCGCTAGTGACGGCCATATGGCCTCAATTATGTTTGCACTAGTACTTCATCGCCGTTTTCCAAGCCAGCGAGAGTCAGCCAGAAAATGTACTAAAATACCAGTGGGTCTGTATTGTGTCATTGAAAGTGGCCGAGGAATCGAAGTATACGCTAATAAAGTCCACTAAATATGTATTCTCAAGACGCACTAAATCACCTAGCACTGTCCACGATATGCACGAGCCACGACCACCGGACTATCAGTTTGGTCCTGACGTGTACGTCGGCGGCGCGTCAAGATCAGAGATGATATTTTCCGCTGCTGATTGTGGAACTGCTTGTTGGCGTGTGCTCAAATCCTGCTGGGAAACCAGCGAGCGCATCACCTCAACCATGCTGCGGCCACCCGTTGAAGGGAGCAGGGGTCGCGCATTAGGCAGCCTGTCCTGATCCATGCTTGCCGCAGACCCAAGCTCTGCTATGGTCGGCTGATAAACTTGGAAATCGCTGGTATACGACGAGTCTGGGCGCGGGCTGAGGATATCTGGACTGAATATCGAAGGATCCTCTGTGACTTTAGTGTCCAGCGTTACTGGTGCAGAGACCCGGTGCAACAGACCTGTAAACGGGCACGCAGGTAATTAGCACACGCGCTCTTGCATGGTGTACTAGTCAGCCACGTACTAGTCTGTGTGTATGGCGTGCTGGCCTGTTTAGCCCTGACGCGGAGCCTCGAAAGTCGCGTGCGCTGGGCATACAGCGCCACGAAAAGCAGGACGATTATCACCAGGGACGGCACGAGCACCGCGGGGAGGATAACCTTGAGGTTGCTCGCCTTCCCAGGCGATGCAGCCGGGGGTCCCGAACTACTGCTCGGCTGCCCTGTCGACGCATCAGACGCAGACGGCACATAGGTTAAATAGTCGAAGCAGTATGTCGTCCAAGGTAGCCCGATAACCGCGTCCGGTGCGTTCACGACGAGAGTGTGCTCTCCATCGGGCACGTTTGATGACTGGTAGAAAAGTTGCTTGGCCATGTACTCGGTACTGTTTTTGTTGGTATAGGTTACTGATGCCGCAGTGTCCAGGGAGTACGTCGAGACCGCTGTATTGTTGGGTAGGATGCAGCCGTAGATAGCGATGGACGTCCCTGGCTTGCATGTTTACACCATACTGCATTTGATGGACGGGAGAGCACAAACGCACCATTGAAGGTGAACTGAAACTCTGAGTTAGGGTTCCCGGAGTACGCTGTTGTTCTGTAAACCTGTTCAGTAGCGCTAGGCGAAGGCTAAAGCAGCCAAACATGACTTACTGGTTGTAGTCCGAAGTGTGCGTCGTTTCATTGTACCACCCTGTCAAGTAGTCGATCTCGGGATTCGTATTGTCGACAATAATTGCTTGCATCGTTGGATAGTATCAGGTGGAGAGCACAGCTGGGAGGGAGGAGGGAGGGCATGCTGCAGACGTTCAACCCTAATACCCCTATGCCAAATCTATTCATCATCTCACGAATGCCATAGCCAGCCGAAGTTCCGCCTTTGACATTTGTGTGATGCATCTTTGGATATATTGCAGGCACCCTTGATGGGACACATTCTCCCAGGCAGGTCCTGTGGTGGATCAGATGCAGACCGCAGTCGAGATGTTCGAATAGCTAAAGCAGCAACAAGTTGTACCGATTGCGAGGAACAAACCCTCCGAAGACTGCCGCAATTCAGCTTGCGCCACATCGGATCCGAAGTGAACGTTCAATATCCGAGGAACCAAAAAAGCCTAGTGTGTTTCAGCCAGTACAGTACAGTACAGTACAGGGATGCAATCTGAGACCGCACCAAGAAGGACCAGTGACAACTCTACAAGTACTGCCACTGCGTCTCGATAAGTGAGTCCGAATTTTGGCCGCATCGCATGCAGGTGCTTCTCTCGGAGTGCCGCGCATCGTGGCAGCTGTGGCCAAAACCACAATGAAAAATGTGCAGGAGGCTCTGAAAACTAAGCTCATCTTAAGCGGTTTCCACACGCACTCGCCGTTGGCAGCCCAATGTCTTCGTCCGAGCCTACGTCGCGGACGAAAATGCTTGGCACGAGCCCCTTGGACCCTTTGCAATGGACCACAAGGCATCAGCACGTTGGAGGCATCAAAAAGCAGGTGAAAACATACAGACTGACTCCAAACTGCAATCCATCGCGAGCTTGAAGCGGTGTGCACATTGCTGGACACGACGGGCCTTCAGGGAATTTTGATCATTAGCTCACGGTCGCCGAGGAGCCTATACACAGCTCTGCTCACGTCTCCCGTTCCACATGCCGCTCAGTCTCCCGCTTGCATACGTACGTCCCACAAACATCTTATTGAGGGCGACGCGTAGGGTGATCGCTTTGCAAAAGTAGGAAAGCCTGCAGATGGAGAGCTTGAGCCTACTATAACACGAACATTGCATGCACACCTTGCTCTAATCTACTCAGTGTGCATAATCGCACTATCGAAGTTTCGCTTGGTCGTTCCAGGCGCTGTCGTCTCGCTTGTTCCTGCCCGCCTCCTCAAGCCTCAACTAGTGCAAGTAGACCATCTTATGCTTTCCGTAGGCGGACGTAGCGAGTGCGCTTCAGCGGTCAGCACGCTGGTCGTGGGCGCTGAAGACCACGGGGCTGCACCCGACGACATGCTGGCAAAGCCAGCTACTTAGTCATCGCTGTATAGAAAGAGGAAAAAAGAGCTTGGATCTACAGGCTGGTTACCCGACACATGCTTGTTTGGCGGAAGAGGAAGATAGTAGAATAAAGTAATGGATCCATGCGTATACACGTCTGCGCTACAAGTGCGGGATCCGCTTGATGGCTTGATGGCGCATCAGTGCATCACCGACTGCGTCTAAGTTAAGTGGTTACTTCCTCCCAGCTGGCTTGTTCAGTCCTGGTACGTATACACAAAGATTTTATGTCGAACGATAAGTTTCGTGGCTGTGTCAGGGCCCAAGTTCAAGGTTGAAATACTCAGAAACATGAAGAGGTATTCAGAAGTGGTATATGTATGTCGCTTTTCTGTCCAATGTTCCAATATCACCTAGATATAACCCAGGAAACAAGTACATAAAGTCACGGTACGATCATATAGAAACGGATATATCACAATAAAGACAGTACATCTGAAATCCCCCATGCTCGGATAGTCCCATCCTCCGCAACTGACACAAGCTCCCCGTCGTCAGGTGTGAACATGACTTTCTTGACTTTCTCTTCATGTCCTTCGAACTCAGCGATAGCCTCTCCAGACCTTGCATCCCAGACTCTGACATGCCCGTCTGCAGACCCGGCAGCGATGAGACGTCCGTTCGTCGAATACGCGACAGCTTCGGCGGGCTTCGTGAGTTGCTTGCCGAAGGCGTGCAGGCACTTGCCCGTCCAGGAGTCGCAGACAATCACCTGCCCGTCGTATGACCCAGTCGCAACCTGGCTGCCGTCGGGCGAGAATGCGACTGCCCAGACGGCGCCCGTATGCTCCTGCAGCGTGACGAGCTCGGTGCCGTCGTCTGCGCTCCAGACACGGGCGCTCATGTCCTCGCTGCCGGTGACGAGGCGATCGCTCTGGGCTGCGAGCGCAGCGGCCCAAACGGCGCTTGTGTGTCCGTGCAGTTCCACGGCGCGCTGGCTCGTCCGCGGGTCCCAGAGCGTGACACCCAAGTCCGTGCAGGCCGCGAGACGCGTGCTATCCTGCGAAAAGAGGACGTGCGTGATGCCGATAGTGTGGCCCGCGAGCTTCGCCTTGAGGTCGCCCGTCTCCACGTCCCAGAGACGCACCTCGGCGTCTGCTGCGCCTGACGCAAGGATGATCCCGTCTGGCGTATATGCGAGAGCAGTGACGTCTGACTCATGTCCCTCCAGCTTGTGCACGATCTGACCGGAGGCGACGTCCCATACGATGACGTCGTGGTCTGCAGAGCCGGAGGCGAGCGAAGTGCCGTCTGGGTCCCACGCGATGGTCCAGATGGTGTCGTTGTGCCCGTCGTCGTCGAGATTCTGGAGGACCCTGCCGTCGCAGAGGCGCCAGATGGTGACGAAGACGTCGTCGAAGGACGCCGCGAGCCACTTGCCATTAGGTGAGATAGCGGCGGATGTGACGGCACCGTTCTCGGCGTTTTTGTGGGTGAACTGCATGTGTGGCCAGTCGTGCGGCGTTGCATCAGGACCAAGGAGCAGGCGGCTATCGACCGTGCGTCCTGCCTGCAGAGTGTGGTCGGTAAGGATGAAGCCCTCGTTGGCGTCCTCTCGATTGCGGTCGAGACAAGCGGACTTGCGACGGCGACAGATACTCTCGTAATGGGATATCGTCCCGCCTGAACACTGCCATCAGCTGAGTTTGAGTTTGATGTGAGAGGGGCCTACATTTCTGGTCGTCCATGACAATCGCGGGCTTGGTTCGTTGCAGAAACTGGGCAATGTCGCGCGGCAGGTCTTCACCCTCTCCCTACGTATTGATGTTCACTGACGAGCGGTTATATCTTTGCGAAACTTACTTTAACGAGATTCACCAGGTCCTCGTCACTAGCGAGAGCCAATTCAGCGTGGGAGTTCTAGCAAGCTGTCAAGCACAGCCGAGACGATGATGGAGTGGCGTGCTCACCTCTAGAATGTAGTCAAGAAGAGCTTCCACTGAAAGTGTAACCCCCTGAGGTGGTGATTAATGTCGACGAGGTGTATGACGACGAAGATGAGTATGAACCTCGTGTCCTGGCCAGTTGGCGTCAATGTCGCTGATTGACATAATTTGATCCGAACCCCGACCCGGCAGGTCCGGAGCCCTCGCGGGTCTTGCGCTCGCCTCTAGCCTTTGACGAAGGAGATCGCGGGATTTAACAGCATAGCATCTCACGAAGGTGCGTTGGCTGAAGTTTTGGTTCCGCTGAATCGGTAACAAGAGGTTCTCACAGCGAGAGAAGACAGGCCCTGGAGTCGCAGCAACGCCTGTGTTGGCATGTGTGCTGACCTTCCACCTAGTGCCAGAAGATGCGGCGGCCGCAGCTGTCCATTCGATTGTCGTCTTAAGCCAGCCACGGATGAAATAGATCGTTTTCAGCTTGCCGCCGGCAGGATCCAAATCTTCCGAAATAGGCTGCTGCCATTTGGGATAGCCGTCACGAATGTAGGCTCTGAGACTCTTGGTGTCAGGTAGGATGAGACCCTCCACAGGGCTTTGCTGTTCCTTGCACATGTACTCAAAATACAGGTCTGTCGAGCCCAGAGACGTATTGCTGTCGAAGTACTCAATATAGACTTGCGACTAATGGTGACGAACGAAGTACTCACGCCTGAACTGCTCTTGCGACACTCGTCCCTTCAACACCTCCGCTACTGCGCCTTCCATATCTCATATTACCATTGTCCTCGGCCGGAGTGTTCAGAAACAAGGGCAGAGGTGCAGGTTCGAACTGCCTGTGATGGCCTGGAATTGAGTGCGGCCTCTGCGTGTTGAAAAATCCCACGAACATGCCCTGCTCGTCGACATGGCCCACGTCCGCAACCTGGATCTTGCTCGACTTCGGAAGCTCTGGGCACAACGCCAAGTTCGCGAGGGTAAATGCCGACGCTGGAGTCTCGGCGTAGACGCTACTGTAGTCTTTGGGCGGGGCGTGGGACAGGGCCATTCTCGGCTGAGGGAGCAATGAGCACCTCGCGGGACGTGGCGGCGCGATTTTCGTTAAATAGACGACTCACTGAAGTAGTAGGACGTGCAATGCTATGCGTACTGGTTTGCGCATAGCATTAACGAGTTTACATGGGCGTTATGACCGGTAGACCCTGATACAGGCTCTGACGAGGCGTCCTCGTGCACCTCTCATGCATCGACGCGTGCATAGCTGTCATCCTGAAAGCATACATGCCGTGCAGGTCGCTGATCATGCTGGCAGAGCAAGCCAGAGCGATGTTGAAGCGAATCATGGAATCCTAAAATCGCATAAAATCAGAACGTGTTTCCTGTCATCCCTAGTGTCTTATTGCTGTATAGCTGGAGAGCAGAAGGCCCAAGTTGAGGGATAGCGAGCATGAGCTTGCGCCGGGCCCAGTGAAAGTGAAACGTACACGAAAGGGAATACATTCCCACAGTCTTTCTGCGCTTGCCCGCCCGCTCTCCTTGCCTTTCCCGCTTCTGTCCTCTCCCTCTATCTCGCCAATAGCACTTGCATAGATATCGCTCTTGGTAGAACCCGTGTCACCCGCCCTATCTCCTGTTCGAAATCAACGAGGGAGTGGTCTGAGGGCTTGCGAGGGATACATTGGTGCGCGACATACGCCGTTCAGACTTTAGTTACACGCTAATCTCATCCTAAGGCATGCGTACGGACGCCTCAAATCTGGGCCCCGATTTCGATATCACCTCTTCAAGACACTCACAGCGAACTTCGACCAACAGTGGGACCTGTTAACTTTGTTGGCCAAACCTGATCTTTCACCGCGGAGAATGCTGTCGTTGTGCATCTCGTCCAGGGCCTTGGTGCTACACCGCACCAGAAATCCATCGCCGAGTAACTTGGCATCCCTCCGTTGTCCGCTACCACCCAAGCCTCAGCTCGATCAATATCGTGTCGCCCGAACCGCATTAGTTCCCCGAGGACTTGACTTGCCTGTGCCGCTCCGCTGTTGTAAATCTTTTGAACTCTCGTGCCCAAATTCGTCGCTTGAAAGCATCCTCCGCATACCATCCGTTCTGCCTTGTTGTTATCCCCTCCCTGAACGCCCACTTCGGTCACTGGTCCCCAAGTCACCGCACCCACGAAGCCGTGCTAGCGCACATATTCCGCACCGGCGCTGCTACCTGATTCGCCATAGGTGTAACAGCCTTGTCTCAAGGGTAATATAGGGTAGGCGGTGGCGGCGTGCCTTTGCACGAGTCCGCATGGCTTTGGGTATGTCCAGCCGGTGTTACCAGAACTTTCTGCTCATATGCCGGTTCTTGGAACACCTCTTGCGGGAACGGTCCTCTGTGCCCGCGGCTGAAGGCCCTTAGCTCTTTCTTTGATGTTCCCCTCGTCCCGTGGAACACCCACATGGTATGCATCGCACGCTTGAGTGACAATTCACTGATGCACGAATACGTCTGGGGACGGCCGTCGCGTCGCTTACGTTCTACTTGTCGGTTCGCATGACTCTGCACATTCTCACGCTCTCGGGCTTTGCAGTGACGGGCGACTTTAGTGCCATCGGCGTGTCGGTTGCGATCTGCATTCGAGACGATACTTTCAGCCCCTGCGCCCGCGATCACCGCAGACCGGTGCACTCTCTACTTACTGCAAGCCTCCACCTGCCCATAGCCGGGGCGCCTCAAGCTCATCGCAACATTCGGTCTGGGCGCACCTGGAACAGCTGCTTTGCGGTATGACCCGACGCCTGAGCTGGCCGCTCTTCCTGCTTTATTCTCGTAATTTAGCTGTCGGTGCATGATTTCGCTACTCTTGTAAAATGCTACAAGTTCTATATCAATAATGTGTTGGGTAAATATTGAGCACGGAAGGTCAAAAGCTGTCGTTCACATCTTGTGCAAGCTTATTCTACAAAGGTCACCGAGACTTGCCCCTGTTCCGTGCAATAAGAGTAGCAATCATTATCATCTTGTTACTTTGATACAAGCAAATCGAAAGGAGTAAGACTTTCAAATTGACTGTGAGAACGCCATTAATCAAGTCACGTAAGGATGTACACGTGGCAGCTGGTTGTTGCCAGAACCTCTGACGTTGTCAGCAGCAAGCTTCGGACGACCGGGAAAGTGTGCCATTACCTTTTTGCGCAACATGCATCCATTAGTCGCTATTGACGAGATATTTCAGGTAATACTCGTGAATATCAACGAGAGAATAACGTTGCGATGCTTGGCTCTGTCCTGTCGGGCGTTCTATGACCCAGCCATGGACGAGCTCTGGGCTGATCTAGAAGGTCTGCAGCCACTTGTCAAATGTCTTCCATCCCATATGGTCAAAAAGGCTAAAGGGACGATTGCTGCCGTGGTAAGTAGTATGGTGCAAACATAACGGCCCAGCTCACGGACGCTCGTTCGTTGTAGACAATCACCAAGCGGCCTTCACAGGAGGACTGGTCCAGGTTCCGGCACCACTCTCGCCGAGTGAAGAGTCTGCAAGTGCGTTATGAAGGCAATACTCCGTATGCCATCGACCATGCGGCTTTCAAGATGCTCCGTCAATATCATCCAGGGCCTCTTCTGCCGAACTTGCAGAACCTGTGTTGGTCTAGCTACCAGCTGGCCCCTTTCGCGACCTTACTCATCACGTCTTCCTTGTCGTCGCTTGTTTTCGAACCTGTGGAGGAAGAAGCCGTACGCGCGGTCTTGGCAAAAGTGAGGAGACAAGCCAGTGGGCTCCAGCTCCTCGCTTTCCCCGAGGCAGAGCTTGACGTTTTAGCGTCTCTCGAAGAAGATATCTCGATTACGATCTGCTCTTTGACGAATCTCACCACCCTCGACTTCAACTATGCTCATTTGATCCCTGACGCCTTCATTCACCTCTCCCGCCTTCCCGAGCTGACTTCCTTTTCCGTCTCTCTGACAAATCGCAATGGCGATTGCTGGAAATCCGCTGAATGGGGTGGGTTCCCAGCGTTGGAGACGCTAGATATCTCATCCTTAGAGCTTCTTGACGACATGTCGTATCCGCCAGGCTTCCTGAACTCCATTAGCGTCGCCAGGCTAACTGAATTAACAATGATTTCCGATGTACCAGCACACATTGACGACGTGGCCGAGCTCTTCTCCTCCCTCGGTCAATTTTCGAAACTCAAACGACTCACACTCATGTTCTACGACGAAGACGCCGACTGGGGTGATCAACGCCTTCGCGGCAGCGCGCTCTTGCCTCTCACCAATCTCCGCTCCATGGCGGACTTCTGCATAGAGTATCTGCCCATCGAAATTACTAGCGCCGAAGTGCGCAAACTGGCGGAAAGCTGGCCGCACCTGCAATGTTTTACCCTCCTTCCGACTCTTGACCTGTCGTACTCGCACCTCCAACTCGAAGATCTCGCGCTGTTCGCGAAACACTGCCTGGACATCGAGTATCTCAATGTTGAGCTCGAGTCACCTCCAGCCGGCTGGAGATATGCGCCGAACGATGACCGCCCCATCTCCAACCTACCTCGCCTGTGCCTCAGCAGGTCGCATATATCAGCGTCCGTGATACAACCTGTCGCAGAGTTCCTTGCGGACACTTTCCCGTTCGCGAAGGTGTTTCACCACCTGCCGGGGTGGCGCCATACCCCAGAGGACGAAGAGGCAGCCAGGGTCCTGAACAAGATCTGGGAGTTGAAGAAGCGCTTGAACTATCCACTTATCAAGCGGCTGCGCCGGGAACGGAAAAGGGAGAAGAAGAGGAAGAATCGTCAGGCAAAGGAGACCGCGGCGGAGTAGTGGGGCTGTTTAAGGTAGCCTTGCCAGATGCTCGAATTCACATATCCACGATTGGACACACTGCTATCGCTGATCTGCGTGCATATGGTTGACACACCCGTGTGTCGATTTTTTGTAGAGTTTCGGCGAATGTAGCTACATCATATGCGGTCTATGCCACCCGCTCGCCTCCTGACACACCTGCACTCCGTTATCTGTAGGCTATCAGAGAAAGTATGATAACACTATCTGTGTGTCCACAACGGTGGCCTCTCAAGCTGTCGTAGCCATGCCAGCTACTGCCAGGCACTCCGGATGCTCGCCATTCTCACGGTTAGAGCATTATCTTATTGTCATTAAGTCGTTTGTTATAGTCTTGTAACGCGAGCTTACACTCAACCCCCCTGAGCTAGGTATCGGTCGTATACGACGCCGTTACGTAATGTATAGCTCGCGCTCGCGCGATTCAGAGCCTCCAAGCCACGTATATAGTGGCAGCGAGACCACGCTTTTGGGGTCACTGACGACTCGACCTCAACTACCTGAGCTCGCTTGGCAATACGATTGGTTACATGGAGAGATTATCTTTGGCGACGGTAAGTTCTCCGTTGCGCCCTGAACATCGTGGCTTACTAGATCGCCTCGGGTGCGCAGTATGAGTACGCTGAGCCAGGCGCTTCGGCGGGAAGCGAGAATAGCATCGCATACGACGTTGAAGACTCGAACGGCAAGAACCACCAAGGCGCCGACGTGGGCGAGATAAAGATCGCCGTGACAGACAACCCGCCTGAGGTCACATCCCCTGGCGACAAAGACTGTGTGTTTCCTTGCGAGGTCACCGAGCTCATCATCGATCATGTTGACCAGCTGCAGTCTCGTGGTGTACTGCCGAAGTGTTGCCTAGTCTGTCGGGCTTGGGTTCCCCGAGTGCGACATCACCTCTTTAGACACATCACGGTCCAAATCCAGCCTCCGCAGAAGACTGGCTATTGCGGCTCAGACTCCCCAGAAGACCCCGATGCCACTTTATACAAATTCTACACCTTCATTTCCCAGTCTTCCCCATCGATTACCCACAGTATCCGACTGTTACGCATCTACAGTGGATCGTCTCGATACGGCCCGGTGTCTCTTGCGTCTGTTTGGGACGTAGTCATCAAACTGCCTTCCCTCCGCACTCTTGATATCGCTTCCACAACAATCGTCGGTCGTATCCAGAATCGGGACGCGGTTCACTCCTTTGCATCTTTGCAATTAAGCCAGTTCACGAAGGTTGATATATACACTCTACTTGACCTGCTCTTGCTCTCTCGCAACCTAACATCACTCAGCCTGCGCTCAACTTCAAGAGTTTACAAGTATTCCACAGATGGCATCAATGCTTACACGAACCAGGTGCCGCCAGCGTGCGTGGCCTTACGTAGCCTAGAGCTGGCCGAAAAGGGTACCATCCCTCTATTTGCAGGCCCTCTACTCCCCATGCTATCTGCGAGCACGCTGACCCGCCTTTCCCTACGCTGCTTCGTCACCAGCGGAGATGTGGCCACGGGCGATACCGGCAAGCTCATTCATCACGCTCACCGAACACTTGAACATGTGGGTCTGAACTTGACCTCGTCGACGGTCGATAAAGGTACGTATGCAGACCGTCGCTTCACAACCACAGTTGATATCTTTCCGGCAGGAACACAAGAAACGGCTAGCACCGGCCTCAATCTTGGTCTGTGCACGTCGCTAGTCTCATTTGACCTCGCTCTGTCTTGCACATGCATATTTCTGCAGCTTTTCGTTCGCACACTTTTCAACGAACTGTTCTCTCGACGCACGGAGTATGTACGGAAACTCCAGCTCATAGTTGTCCGTACCGACAGCCTCGACGACATCACAGGACTCGATCAAACTCTACACTCAAGCATGCCACTTCACTCGAATACCAGAGTTCGTTTGGCCTGGGGTAGTTATGGACGCGCAAGAGCTGTAACACCTCAAGATCGTGAAGTTTTTGTAGCAGCCATGCCTCTGTTACATGCTCGCGGACGGCTCTACTTCCACCCCGATGATGACCTCGACTCCTCTCTTCTGCGGGATGCTTGTCACGAATAGATAGCAAATAATCTCATCATGCATGAGCACATATCGGATGTCCGGCAGGTAAGAGCTCTGAGCCATCTCGTTGCAAACAGTGACTAGCGGGAGACGCTGATTTGTCACTTCCAGTTGGCCTCAACAAGTGGCCAGAAGACGTCCACAGCTCGTTGTTCGCTGGCTCGAGAAACGCACGGCACACCAAGACAGAAGCGCGTAATTTTGAGGTTCCTTCAACGTATCCTGAGAGATTTTGTAAAATCTCATCAATATTTCAGCAGGGGTGCATGTCGCGAGCTCGTAAGACATGATATGGTTGGTAGCGGCCGACGAGTTCGCGTTTGAAAATTGACGCTACTATAATCTGGCGTTCTCACGATCAGAGACTGATTAGAAAGCTATATTTACTGGGTTTTACAATACAGCTTACTTCATAGTAAGGTCCGGTATTCCCACGAATACAAGTTCAGAACTCTCACGAGCAAGGATTTCTTGAGCATCCGGCGATCTCAAAACATGAAAGTATATTAAGTACACCATATCGATACATCTACACGCGAGTATATGAGATAGCATTACAATACAGAAGGTACGGGAAGGAGTGGCTAGTGTGACAATGTTTATAGCATTCGCAGTGCCTCAAGGAGTCTGTTCGAGACTTCGCCGACCTGGAAGCATCGACATCAGCGTGCGAATCCCAAGCACTACAGTCTGCAGAAAGTACTCACGTAGCGGCGATCAAATACTTCAAAGTGATTTCCGGGAATGTCGAGTACAGGAACCCTGATACCAAGGATCTTCTCCCATCCACGGATGATCGTCTCGGGGCTAGCTCTGTCGCCTAAGAACGCGTCCGGCTGAACGCCTAACTTGGCGTTCTTGACAAAGAATCCTTCGCGTGAGCGCAGAATGACAGCCTTCGCCAGCAAGACATGCCTCGCAGGCGATGACCAAGGGTCGTAGTCGACCAGCGCCGCTGTCGCGTGCTGGATAGACAAGCGGGCAAGCTCCATAGCACGGCTAGGCGAACTCTTCGTCGAGAATGCCGCGTCGAGGACTTCATCGGAGAGCGCAGTGGTCGTCTCTGGATCAGGCGAGTCGATGAGGACGAGGCCAGGCACGCTGGTACCAGACGCGATCAGCTGTCTCGCGACTTCGAAGGCGATTACTCCCCCAATAGACCATCCTGCAGCACAAGATCAGAATGATGCTAGTCTGATATATGTCGAGCAACGTACCTCCGACGAGACACTCTGAGCGACCAGCCAGGCGGCCCCTGATGAGACCAGCATAGTGCTGTGCCATCTCAAGCAGACCGCCGTCCCACCTGCCGCCCTCAGGGAACTTGGGATTATGAATCCCCCAGACCTGGCGGCCGAGCGAGGAGAGCCGACCGTACTGGTAAGCGACACCACTGCCGTCGTGGATCAGAAAAAGCGGTGGAGCGGACGATTCGATGCCGTCTTGCAGGAGGACGGGATTGACATCGGTGCCAAACGTGAACGATTGTCCGGGCAAGCTGGTAACGTGTGCGGGCGCTGAAGGCACGATAGCACTCAAGATTTGGCGCAGCGTCTTGCAGGTGTTAAATAAGTCGTCTGGAAGCGATGTGTCGAGTTCAGTTGATAGCACGTGTAGGGCCTCGATAGACATGAGCGAGTCCATCCCGAGCCGCTCGAGGTCCGTGTCGAGGTCTAGCTCCCTTATGGAGACGCCGATCACAGAGGTTATGATGCCCCTAATCTTGTCGGTAGCGTCAGTGAGATCCGGATCGATATCGAGCGCCGCTAGGTCTTCAACGGGGGACTTCGTAACCTTGGTGGGGATAGACGTACGAGGGTTCGCGGATGCCAGAAAAACTGCCTCTTGGATCTCGCGGACGGTCTTGCAGGTGACGAAGAGATCTTCAGGAATGGCGGCACCTAGCGCGTTTGACAGCGCATGGTGAGCTTCGATGGACATGAGCGAGTCCATCCCGAGGCGTTCGAGATCTCTGTCCTCACTGAGCTCCTTCGCCGACACGCCAAGCACCGACGCCACGATCTCCTGAACCTTTTACAAGGGTCGCCGCACAATCGACGTCGACGACGTGGTCGTGTTCGTGCAGTGTACCCTCCGAGGTCCTCGGCGTGGAAGCACCAGAAGGGGCGGCAGGCAGCGATACAGGCACAGAAATGGCAGCACAGATATCGCTGACAGTCTTGCATGACGCGAAGAGCTTCTCTGGGAGCGCCATGCCGAGGGTCGAACAAAGCGCGTGGTGCGCCTCGATCGAGGTCAGCGAGTCGAGTCCAAGGCGCTCCAGGTCCTGGCCCTCCGATACGTCCTTCATCGGCACACCAAGCACGGACGCGATGATTTCCTTCACTTGCTCGAGCGTCGAGGATTGCGGTATAGAGACGACAGTGGACGAGGTCGAAGGCTTGGACTGATGAGCGGGCCGAGTGGGATGGATAGTAAGAGAGGGGGGCCGAGGAACGCCAGACCGGGTCGAGGCAGAAGCAAGGACAGCTTCGAACCCGCCTAGCCGCAGCTTCTTGAACTCCATCCGCTTCATCGTCGCAACGATCTCCTCACTGTCCAGGTCCAAGGCGTACGCATCACCAGACGCGACGCTCTCCGACAGGAAGCCAATATTGCAGTACACTCCGTACCGCCCGTCGGTCTTGACAAGCTCGGGAATGGCCTTCACCTTGTCGACCCGACTGCAGATGAACGCCTCGTTCGCGCCTGCGTTGCAATTAACTACGAACCCGACCGCGTGCAGGAGTGTGTCCATGAAGACCGGGTGCGCGACAAACGTTCCTGGCTTGGTATCCCGTGGGAGCTGCACAGCCGCGTAGGCGTCGACGCCATTCGGGTCGAGTGTGATCGACTTCATGGTATGGTAGGCTGGGCTGTAAGCGACGATGCGGGAGAAGATGAGGTCGTAGGCGGTGCGCGTGGAGAATGTCTCGGCATGCTTCGACTCGGTGACGATCTGTCTTCGGCGGTCGACAGTGGTAGCGACCAGATTGAACTTCGACTTGGTCTGGACCTTGGACGCGAGAGTGAAAGAGCCGGTGCAGTGCGATTGAGGCTTCTTAGAGTCGGAAACGGAGGAAGATATGGAGAAGCGTCCAGTGTGTTTGTCTCCAGGACCAGCCAGCGTGATCTCGACACGGATGGTCCTCGGTACGTTCGGGAAGTACACGAGTGGATTGGAGAAAGCGATCTCGGACAACGAGATCGTTGAGTCGCTGGTGAAGCGCCTATGCTCTTCGAGCACAAGCTGTGCCGCCGCACTCGCCATCTCGATGAACACCGACGCAGGGCACAGTGCATGGCCGGCAACCTGATGGCCCTCGATGAGATACGCGATCCTGTCAATCGGCGTCTCAAACTGAGCCGGCTCGGAGGACCCTGGCGCAGGGACATGCACGCATGAACCGAGGAGAGAGAAGCGCGGGATGGCGGCAGGTGCAGCCTCAGCAGCCTTCTTCTCTGCGGCTGGCCCTTCCCCGTACTTGACCCAGAACCGTGTCTTCGCGAACGGATACGCCGGCAGCTCGGTCAGCCGCGCAGACGGCGCTAGGTCCGCGAACACTTTCCGCCACTCAACTGTGGTATTACTGGTGTACAGGCTGGCGAGGGAGCTGCAGATGACCTGCCAGTCGTCGATGTTCTTCTTGAACGTCGGCAGGTACAGCGCTTGGTGCGACGTCGCAGGTATCGCGCGCAGCATCGGGAGTGACGTCGGGTGCGGGCCGAGCTCGAGCCAGAGCGAGACCGTCGTGAAGGCGTCCTTGGACAACAGGTCGTGAATGCCCTGCTCGAACTTGACGGGCTCGCCGCAGTGGCGGGCGAAGTACTCGGGGGTGAATACTGAGGCGTTGCCAGGGGCGACGACGGTGCCGTGGACGTTGGATATGACGGGGATGGACGGAGCATTGAGCTTGACGGTGGAAGCCAGGGCGGTAATGTCATCGAGGATTGGCTTCATGGCGTCGGTATGGTAGCCGTATGGTACGTTTACTCTCGCGCACTTGCGTCCAGAAGCCTTGAGCTCTGGCTGCAGCTTGTCGAGCTGAGCAATTCTGCCAGCAACCACGCCGTCATCGCAACTGTAGAAGACCTGATTTCAGTACGCGGACCAAACTTGACCGTCAGTGCACACACCTATTATAGCACGCGACAGACAGCCCATGGTATTCTTGGTTTCCACTGATGTAATGCACAAGCTCAGCAGGCGACATCTTGACTGCCAGCATGCCCGTCTCGTCCGGCACGCACTTCTCGCCCATGAGCCTCGCACGCCCCGCGACGATCTTGAGCGCATCGTCGAGGCTGAGCACCTCCGCCGCGACGAGGGCCGCGTACTCTCCCAAGCTACAGATCCACACCATCAGCGCCATTCAAAGGCTCTCAAAGCCGCCAGAAAAACGCACCTGTGGCCAGCAACCGCGTCAGGCCTGACACCCCAGCCCTTCCAGACCTCCGCGAGCGCGCATTCAATGACAAACACCGCCTGCTGGAACGCCCGGAAATCCTCCTGAACCTCTCCCCTCGGGTCGATGACATCCAATATCCCCGGGTACCCCCACCCGACGAGCCTCTCATGGCATCGATCCACAACGTGCCTAAGCGCCGGTAACGTCCTGTACAGCACGCGCCCCATGCCGACGTACTGCCCGCCTTGGCCTGAGAAGACGAACACCGTGCGCCCTGTGGTGGTACTGGACGCGTGCACAGGCGTCGCGCGCCGCAGCGCGTCGAGCACCTCGTCCTTCGTCTTGCCCGCGGCGGCAAGGCGCACGCGGTGCGTCTGGCGGCGCGCTGTCGCGGTGTATGCGACGTCGGTCAGGTCCAGGGCGTCGTGAACGCGCGTCTCGATGTGCTTGATGTACGCGTGCCGCCGCGTTTCGAGGGCCTCTTCGCTCTCGCACGCGAGCCCGACGACGAACGCGGGCGCCGCGCCCTCGCGGGAGCGTGCTTCGCCTTCCTGGTGCTCCGCGAGCACGAGCGCCGCGTTCGCGCCGGCTGCGCCGAAGTTGTTGAGCAGCGCGAGGCGCGGGGACCCGTCTTCCGGCTTCTCCCACGCGACGCGCGCCGTGGGGATCGTCATCTGGCTGTCGGCGAGGAGCGCACGGACAGGCGCGCTCGGGTGTTTGAGCGAGATGACGGGCGGGACCGCGGCGTGGCGGAGCATGAGCAGCACCTTCGCGAGGGACGCGGCGCCCGAGGCGGCCTCGGCGTGGCCGATGTTCGCCTTGAGCGAGGTGACGTAGAGTGGGTGCGTGCGCTGCACGGTGCCGCTGCCGCCGAAGACGGTGCGGATGGCGGCGAGCTCGGCGGGGTCGCCCGCTTTCGTGCCTGTATGCATGCGCGCGCGTGTCAGCACGATTTGCAACCTCTTCATGGCGCGCCCCATTCGCCAGAAGAAAAGAAAAAGCCAACAAAAACTCACCCGTGCCGTGCGCCTCGACGACGCCGATCTGCGCGGGGTCCACGCTCGCCGCGGAGACAGCCTTCCGGAACAGGTCCGCCTGCGTCGGCACGTGCGGCTGCGTGATGCTGGCGGCGCGCGCGGACTGGTTGACCTCGACGGCGCGCACGACGCCGAGCACGCGGTCGTTCTCGGCGAGCGCGTCGCGCAGCCGTTTGAGCACGAACAGCCCGCAGCCCTCGGCGCGGCAGTAGCCGTCCGCGGCGGCGTCCCACGGCTTGCACTGGCCGGTGCCGCTCAGGAAGTGGGCGCGGTCGAGGCCGAGGTACATCTGCGTGCGCGGGCGGGTCAGCGTGGGGTAAGGGAGTGTGAAGACTGTTTGGGGGGACGTACGTCGGGACTGGTGATGATGTTCACGCCGCCGGCGAGTGCGGCGTTGCAGTCGCCGTGGGCGAGCGCGCGACACGCCTGGTAGAGCGCGACGGACGAACTCGAGCAGGCTGTGTCGACGACGACAGAGGGCCCGCTGAACTTGAACGCGTACGAGATCTTGCCGCTCAAGAACGCGCGGAGCGTGCCTGTCGTGGCAACAAACACATCAGCAAAAAGGTAGGCGAAGCTCACCAAGAGGAGAAACCCATACCGGTGCTGTAGTACACGTCGACGTCGTTCCTCAGGTTCTGCACATAATCGTCCGTCGCGGCACCGACGTACACGCCAAAGGTGCTAGGGTCGAACGCCGACGCGTCGCCGCGGTCGCTGCTGGGAGCGTAGCCTGCGTCCTCGAGCGCGTGGTACGCGGCGTGGAGGAGCACGCGCTGCTGCGGGCACATGCTGCGCGCCTCGCGGGGGCTGACGCGGAAGAAGGCGTGGTCGAACGCGTCGGCGTCGTCGAGGAAGCTGCCAAAGCGCGTCTTGAGCGTGCGCTGCGCGCCGTGTGCGCCGGCGGCGTACGCGGACACGTCGAAGCGCGCGGCGGGGATCTGGCCCAAGTGCTTCAAGTCAGTGCGCGAGCGTGAGTAAGGGGGGGTGGAAGACGCGGTTGCGCACCTCTGAGACAGCGTTCAGGCCCTTCTCGAGGACGTCCCACAGGCCCGCTGAGTCGGCAGCACCAGGAAACTGGACGGCCATGCCAACGATGGCGATGGGCTCGCGCGCCACGGCCCGGTCGTGCGTCGCCTTCGGCACGAGCGGGAGGGGCGTCGGCGGGATCGCGTCGGCGTGCGCTGCAGACGACCAGTCGCGCATCGTGCATTGGCCGTCCGGGAGCGCGCCCGCGATGCTGCGCCATAGACTGTTGCCAGGGCCGAGATTCACGAGTGTGGTGGCGGCGGCGGCGGCGGCGGCGGTGCTGGACGCCGAATCGGAACCGGAGGCATCGCCCCTGATCCCGGCGACGACACGATCAAAGTTGACCGGGTGCAGGAGTGTCATGTCCACGACGTCTTCCGCGAGCGTGCGGCCGTCGTTCCGGGCTGTCGGAGGTATGACGGCGCCGGTGGCGGTCGAGCGCAGCGTGCAGCGGAGGGCAGTGTAGTCTGGGAACTGGACGTGCTCGCGGGCGAGGTCCTGCATGACCTGGGCCTTCACGTCGGCGAGGGCTGGGGTGTGGTAGAGGGTGTGGATGGCGGAGAGGCGCGACTGCACGGAGCTTGCGGGAAGGTAGGCGTTCCTGAAAGTCGCCAAAGCGTCAGGGCGTCCAGAGATTGAGACGCAGCTGTCCGTGGTAATCGCGGTGAGATAGACATTTGGGAGCAATGTCTGGATGTGTGGTCCGTGAGCATAGTCTCGCAGGAGTGATGTGCGTTTTACGTACTCGTTCCGCGTTGTAATTGTCCACGGCGCGCTGGATCTCTGCGCGAGTGGAGCCGAACGCCACCAGGGTCCATGACGCCGAGGGAGCATCTGCGATCTGGACAGCTGAGAGAGCACTTTGTGCGTATTGCTGGGCGCGGAGACCAATCCAGAACGCGAGGCGGAAGCCTTGGGTGGCATATGAAATGAGGACCGGGATCGTGTCAGCACAGGCTATGATGGAGGCTGTGACCATGCCGGTCGAAAAGCCAATGATGCAGAGTCCCTTGGACATGGCACGAGGAGCGCTGGGGTCGTGCGAGCCGGTGGCGGCGATGTAACGGAGGAGCTGGATGAGATAGAGGTGGACGTTGGCCACGACGGCGTTGTGCGGAAAGCGCGAGGAGAGGTCGAAGATAGACTCTGGGCGAGGGAAATCGTCGGGGCTGAGCCCCGAGTCTAGCTTCTCCTGAGATGAAAGCGAGCCGTAGTCCTGGATGAGCGCTTGGTGGCACGAGAGTAGCACAGCTGTTCCGATGGGGGTCTGCGCATCGCGAACGGCCGTCTGAATCGTCTGGGACGAAGATGCGTTTGGGGAACCTTGCCCGTCGAGGACAAGTGTCGTGGTGGGCCCTGCGGAGGACATAACGGCGCGAGGACACCAGACAGCGAACAAGTTGGCAGCTTATATACCAAAAGCCGACTGGGGGCATCGGCGAAGCCGTGATGTCCTTTCAGCTAAAATCGTGCATTCCAATCTGGGCACTTGGACGATTTTGAATATGAGCCTGGCATGGTGGGTCAAGACCGGGGTACAGGGACGAATTAGCTTCCGACATTGGTCTGCGTCGCACAGACGGTGCCCTCCGTGCACCTGTTTTCTGAGCGAAGCACCGCTGCGTCTGGCAGAAGTGACAGAGCTAATCCCTCGACCAGCAAGCGATCCAGCGTCAGCACTGTGGCGCGACAATCTGCAAGACAGGAGGATATCGGGCAGTGTCGACGGTGGCACGACTCTGCCGTCGCCGGTCCCCACGACCCCGCCCTGGTTGGATCCGGCAAAGTCTGACGTCCAAGCTATTTTCTGCGTTCTACCCACCGAAGGGTTCGTGTGCGGACAGACCATGAATCGCCGATACATTCCCTGTTCGGATGGTGTCTACATTCTGGGGCATGTTCCCCTGGCGCTCCCCGCGGACGGAAATCGGTTCTCAACGGGGCCGGTGAGATCAATCGGAACATTGACGCGACTTCGGAAGAAAGAGACTATGATAGCGTAGTCGCGACGAGAGCGAGGCGTTCATCGGGCGACCTGTGTCGTGAGAGACTCAGACAAAGGTGATCTGGCCGAGGGTTAGGGTTAAGTAGGCGTCTGCTCCTCCCGGGGTCATGACCCCCCACTTGCGACAAAAGTGCCTAACAAACATAGGTAGAGTTAAGCGTGTGTGTACTTTCTAATATCATTCAAACCACTTATTTCGAGGCTTCGAACGCTATTAGTAGCTTGACCAACGACCATCATTGCAGACAGCGGTGATCGGGGTCCTGATGTCAGAAGCATGCCTGCGCGATCCCGATCTCTTCCTCTTCCGCCGAAGCTTTGAGGGCTTGCAAGTGTGGCACCTGTGGTACTAAGCCTGAACGCACTCAGAACATATCTTCTGCCGTGTCTCTAGACACCGCCGACTATCCTCATCCCTCAGTCACATGAGACAGTGGCCGGAGATTTTAATCAACACCTACTTTGCTCCGTCGTTACGTCTGTGCAGACAGAGAGACGGACCGTGGGTATAATCAGACTCTATCATATCTATATCGCAATACCCACGTCCCAACATGGCGACAGGGTTCACGGCGTTCAGCGGGTTGCGTATCCCACATCCTTTTGCCAGCATGTCCAGGTGCGGCCAACGCTGTGTACCTGCTTGGCTCACCTGCTATACAAATTTTAGGCTTCGGACGGGATGCGCCACCGCTCTCAAACCCTTGCACGAGCGCAGCCAGCACTGACGCCATCATCTGTCACGCTCAAGCACTGCATACTATCTCGAGATCCTGACTAGTGCTATCATTGACCTCGGACTTCGGAAACAGCAGCGAGCGCATGATCCCCTCCCGAATTGCATAGGCCCATTTCCACGCCATTGACCTCGTTATTACCTGTCCATTTGACAGCACTCAAGTGCCTGGCGAGGCCCTCGTCCCGCAATTGCTGCGGTGCTATGCGTAATAGATGCACCTGCACTGATGAGCGTACACATCGACGATCCAGCATCGAGATTCCCTGCAAAGCACGCCCTACGGCGCCGCACTCGCACTCAGCGGGTCCCAGAGCAATCTTAATCAATCTCCAGTCCGCAATCTACCCACGGTTCCCTGCACCGAGCCACCTGCCCACGTGGATTTTCATATCTCTTTGTAGGGAAAGGCGCAGCCGCCCTGTTACGACAACGATTTGTAGCGCGCCGCAACTAGCGTCGTTGCAGCAGCCGCCGCGGGCCTCTCCAGCCCGACGGTCCGCAAAACTCGCACGCACGCAGGCGCCCAGCTAAAATGGGGCAGGCTGGCGTTCCTAGCTGCCTGCCCTATCGAGCCTAGCACCGCGCACTTGGCCGTTATCGTTCCCGTGCCCAAGTGGCGCGCGCGTGGCGTTGGCTGGTTTCCGATCGTAAACACACGGCGGGAAACCGCCGTTTTCGTGCGGAAGACAACGCCGCGGGGGAGGGAGTGTTGCCTTTTTTCGCGGCCGTGCCTGTGCGTTGTCAACGTCACTCGTCCGAGATGCGCGGCCCCCGCCACGACGTCCGATGCACGCCTTCCGGTGTGGCGTTCGTGCGAGGGGAAAATGGGCAACTGTGACGGCGGCGGCACGGCACGGCGCATCGTGGAGGCACCCCGCTCTCTTTGTCGCCATCAGGCCGGCGTGCTAGCGGGCGTCCGCTGTATAGTAGCCGGGGCCCAAGGACACCGCGCCCGAACGCACGCTAGTGGGGCTAGCGTCGCTGGAAAACACCTGGAAAAACCACCGATGCACGACAGGCGACGTGCGACGCTAGCCGGCCCTGTCATGTCGTGCGCTGCGCTGCGCCGAGCGGGTGGGCTCATCGCTCATCGCTGCTGTTTTCTCGATCGTGATCGAGCTCAGTTCCCTGGCAGCAGGGTCCAGGAAGCTGCGCATCGGGGCGGTGCCTTGCGGCTGGCTGCCTCTTTCTGCCTTGGTTCAGGGCGCGCTAGCCACAGAGGAGCCTCGCCAGAGGCGTCCCGTTATGTCAAGACGCAGTCGACCGTCTCCGTGCGCCATCGGGCCTAAGACGCAGCGGAAAGAATGCTCGTTGCATCGCACCCGCACCGCAACCGCCGAGACCATGCACACACGTCTCTCTCGTCTCGTGACGCTGGATCCATCCGCCCTAAGCCTTGTCTGTCGACGGAAACTCAGGTGGAGGAGCCCACGACACGGCCGTCCTGGCACCCTGTGACCAAAAGCACATGGGCCGCACCTGTGCATCCTCGGCGATGATCAGTCTGGCTTTCGGCCGGGTCCGCGCGCAGAGCAGAGCACGTCGAGCCCCCGCCACGCCACTCCGCACGCACGCATGCATGCAGCTCGAAAGCTCCAAGTCGCCGTCTCCGCGCATTTGCCTCACACGAAAAGGCGGCGTCCGCACCCGCCACGAGAGTTGCCGGAGCGGCGTCCGCACCGCCGCGATCGAGAACGTGTGCGGCTCCGCGGGGGTCGCCTCGAGTCCGCGGCCCGCGTTGCGCACGGCGCGTGCAGCTATAGCTTCTTGCGGGCCAGAGCCAGGGGCCTGGTGGTGGCGGTGCGTTCGATGGCCGCGACTCGAGTTTCTCCTGCTAAGTACCGTTGCGGTCCAAACGACACCGCGAGGAGACACTCGTCGGACCCCGTATCGGACCGATCGAAAGCGGGTGAATGGTGGCTTTGCAGCCATGAATTTGCTTGCGCTTCCCAATGTCGAGGCGGTGCCGGATACAGTTGGCCAAATAAATGTCGGTGCGAGCTACTAAAGACCAAGGAAGTCACGTTGTATTGTCAGGTCACTTCAGGACGGAACTCAGAAAGTGGAGTTGCTGAACGAGCTTCCAACATGGTCTTCGTCATCCCCGGTGGACAGGGTCAGCGGGCTAGCTGAAGACGACCGCCAGAGTGTGTTTTGCACGGGCACGCTTCGACGGCGAACATGCCCTCCTCTCCTCTCCTTCCTTTCCAAGCCAGAGGGAGCAAATTGTAAAAGGGCTCAACGAGCCACGGCAAATCAAGGTACGAATCCGAGCTGGCGATGGCCTCTGTGAGCATTTTGGGTGTAGCGAAGGCTGTTATTCCTGAGTAGTCTGAAATATTAGGTCTTGCTGCGATACCCGTGCCGGAGCTCGTTTGTCCGAGACGCCCCGACGAAGACCAAGGACAGTTTGCACGAACAGACAAGCTGGAGAGACTTCGATACTGCTTGGAGCGCGTCTGATATATGAATGGTACGGGGCATTCATGCGACCGCGATAGTCGTGGACACATATAATTTGGACCTCGATAAGGATATCTGGTATGCGGCTCATACGTCCATTCTGGCGCAGATTCTGGGTCATATATTTATCATCATTCAGTGGGCGCGTTACTGTACGAGCTTGAACTGGAGCAACCAGTGTGACATCCAAGTCAGCATTTGTGCGAAGCAACGGCGGGCGCCAAATTGCCAAAATAGGTATTTAGGAAATTTATTCGATATTTTCGTTAAGTTTAGCTCTATTTTGGCCCAAATCTGGTGCAGATCTGCGTGACAAGGCCCAAAAATCGCAACTTCTGGAAAGGCTCGTGCAGTAGCTTTTATTTCAGAAAAAAAAGCTCGGGCTTGTTTGCGAAAATATTGGATAAATCTTTGGACCTCTATCTACACGCGGGGCTCGGGGGGAGGAGGAGGATCTTGTGTTAAGATGGTTGGGGGACCAGACTTAGTTAGCTTTATAATATAGTGTGCGGCACGCTCGCGAGGGATGCGAAAGAACTAATCTAATATAATAAAACACTTCGGGCGTCAAATCCCCGAGACAAAGAGGCACTCTCATTGGCCAGTGATCCCCTCTCACGAGGCGCCTCTCACAGGGGCGCTGCACGCCCAGCCAACTGAAGGTTGGCGGCGGGCGGCGCATTCCTCTCATTTCTCATTCGATTTCTCTTAATTCTCTTCTGAATTCTTCTCTCAATCTCTTTTCTCAATTCGCTCTGCCCGTGCGTAGCACGGGTCACCCTCTCGTATATACATAATATAAAGTGTGGGAAAGCGGATGTAACAGTCATACATGCATACAGGCACGCATCAAAAATATGAAACTGTAGCACTCGGCGGGGATCACACGGCATCTGGAAGGGACACCAGGATTATCGATTAGATATAAAAACGTGGTTTAAAAACATTGCAATCCGAAAATCCTGTTCCCTCAGCACCTCTATCCACCACCAAGCATGTCCCACGGAAAGCAGTTCACATTGTACACCCATAAGAGTGGTCCGAACGGATGGTGCGTCCTGACGCGGGAACAGCTGATTTATGACCAGCTGAATGACCGACGGTTGCGAATAGGAAGGTGGCATTGGTGTTGGAAGAGCTCGGCCTGACATACGAGTCCATCTACTTCGACTTCAAGAAAGGAGAGCACAAGGCTCCTGAATACACGAAACACAACCCGAACGGGCGTATCCCGACCATCATCGACCACAAGAACAACGACTACATCTTGTGGTGTGTATTCTCGTTCTTCTGACGCGGACGGATGCCCATTGACGATG